CAGATCCTAACATCAGGTTCTATTCAAAACATGCGTAGTCTTGTCACTGTCTTCATGAAAACTCAATTAGGACACAGCGGAAAATTACAAAGTTAAAATCATTTTAAAGTATTTTGCTTCGCCGATTTTGTAAAAAAAATAATCCGAAATTGTACTGATCAACAGTTGTCGAGATATGGCCAGACGCCGCTCTTAAGGGGAATCTAACGCTCGAGTTTTGACTCAAATGTAGAGAGTCGGCTGATAACAGATTACAGACTCATTTTCCAACATAAAAAAAAATGTTTGGGATGTCTAGAAAAAACAATTTTAAAAGTTTATCTTAGAACAAAAGTTTGAATTTTTTCATGTGTTGTTTTGGCAGAGTTCTTAAAATGTCAAAAAATGAGGATTTTTAAGTTCTAATGTCGTGCTTCTTAGGAAGAAAACTAAAAAATTCCTCTAAGATAAACTTAGATTCATCCCTTAACAATATTGTGACCCAAGAAAAAATATATCTTCAAAAATAAGCTCGTAAAACATTATCAGCTGTACCTCTAAAAGCGCAAATTTGAACACCATTAAGTGGCGCCTCCAGCGGTAAAATGCATTTCGTTTATATAGGGAGTGGCTAAATTTTGCACGGACTTAGGAAAATTTTATAATATATTTTTTATATAGTAAGGGAATCTGACGCTCGAGTTTTGACACAAATGTAGAGAGTCGGCTGATAACAGATTACATTCTTATTTTTCAATACTTAAAAAAATATTTTTGGGATGTCTAGGAAAAACAAAAATTTGATTTTTTTTAGGTATTTTTTTGCGGAGTTTTAAAAATGTCAAAAATAGGTATTTTGATGACCTAATTTCTTGTTTCATAGGCAAAAAATAAAAAAAATTCTAAGATAAACTTAGATTCATCCCTTAAGAATATTGTAATCCAAGAAAAAAAATTTCCATGTAATTTTTATCCCCTTACAAAACGTTTTATTTAAACACGAAATATCGTTGAAGTCTGTCATTATTGTCAGCAATACCCTTTTTATTAACTATGTCTCCCTCCTTAAACTCCCAGAATCCAGAAGTACCAGGCATATTTTTCGGAAAAAACCGTCTTTGAAGATTGTTTTGGATCAGTACCAACTACCTAAGTTTAATAAGTTATTACGGACTCTTTTCCGTTCTAATGGATTTTTTTATTACCCTTGATTGGGGCTTACTCTGGTATTTTGAAAGATTACCCCTGTGAAATTTATAGGCCCATAAACTTGTTTAATTTTTCACTTTAAATTGTTACATTATATACGCACCAAAGCTCCTCTACTTACATTTAAAATCCGGTCATACATTGCAAAAAAACGTAGCGCGTAGCTATTTCCTAAATGGACCGACATGCGTTTCCTGGTGCGCTGTCGTCAGGCTGTGTGTAGTTTATCCCTTTCATATTTAAAAATAGTTTTTACCTATAACTCACTAATAGCAACAAGTTTTATTAATTAGAATAGTTTCGAGATATATTGCGACACATCGTACCTAGTGCAGTGTTTCCAACTCCGACGCATTGTGGGCAGAGATGTTGCAATATTTCCCGAAGCATTTCTAATAGTAAATCTCTAAATAAAATGACTTATAACAAAACAAAAAACGTATAAAATGTGTACAAAGTAGATTAATCTATTTTAACTGCTTTCAGCAGACTTGATATTTTAGCAGCACCTATTTTTACACCATTAGGCAGGGCATTTTTGTACCTATCGTTTTTACATACATACGTTTGCTAAATAACAACTTTACAAATACTAAGATAAACTATGGCAAACACCATTATTATTCCTGCAAATAAATGCAAGGATTTTAAATGCGTCAAACGTGACACCACCGCAATTTAAAATAACTTTGTTTCATTCATACTATACATCACGGACGTCACGTATAGTATTTTATCCATCGATAGTCTGCGACGTTGCGATCCAGTAAATTGTTGCATATTGGGTGTTTTTGTTAAGCTTTAGACTCTTTTGGAAAAATTTCGACTTGTGTATAGCTAACAACATGGTTCGCGAGTGCATTTTGAGCAAAAAACTGGAAAATGTGGGTGCTGAAGTCTTTTCATAAGTAAGTAAGGTTAGGTGATGATGTATTGCATAGTTCAGTGGTGTAGATTTAAAGATTTTTGCCGTAATATCACATGTATTATCTACTTTTGTATTATTATTATTTTCTTTAATTTTCAACATTATTAATTTCGCAAAAAATTGTAATTAATAGAAACACTTTAGTCTGGACTATAGTGGTAAAATAAATATGCTTATGCTTGATTTTTAGATTCCCAACTGAAAGGCATACAAGAAATATTTGGCTATCACTTGTAGGACTTGAAGAAAATGAAGGTATCTAAAAAAGAGTGTTATGCTCGAAGCATTTTGATCCTAATGATATTCTTCAAAAAGCAAATATTTCAAGCCTGGAGCACTGCCAAAACTAAGTTCATTGTTTCGAAAAAGCTCATTTAGGTAACTAAAAACTTTCTTAATTATGTTTCGGAAATGTTCATGTAGGTATTTATCCTTTAAGATGAAATTTGGTAGTTTATATTAGAAAGAAATTTTTATATTGTAAGTTCTTTAAATTTTGTAGGTACTTAACAAGGACAAACTTTTTTATAAACTCATATTACATGCCTCTTTCTTTGATTATTTTCATGAACTACCATATTATTAATCAAAATGTATACTTACCTTTACATTAAAAGTTCTGAATACTCTGTTACAGCTCTGATTTCACTATCAGTATTTTTGACAGCTCCAGTAAAAAACCAGAAGATAATTTATGTATGCCACACACATGGATGATAATAAGTAAGTTAGTTTATTGCCTAGTTTTACAAGTTAAAAACTATCAATGGATAGGTTTAATGTTGTACGGTTCTACGTGTTTTCGGATTTTACAAAATTCTTATTACCAGATCCGCTATAAGAAGCGTTCCATTTAAAATCCCCACCTTGTATATAAGTATGGTTAATTTATTGATTTATTAACTTTTATAAATTTAGTAGTGTTAAAAATCTAAATTTTTATTTAAAAATCTCTCATTTACCAATTTGTAAAACTGTTCAAATTTTAACCCCAAAATTGAATTCGTAAATTTGTTTAAAATAAATCTTGATTTATTTATCTTGTTTTTATTTTATTTTATTTAACATCTTTATATGTAATAAATATATTATTCTTGGAAAAAATAGTGTTTTTAAGCTTTTTACCTACATTCCACTGAACTGCATACCCTTATACCAAATCCAATCGGTTTTAAAGTTTAAACCATTATAAAGTTTATTGCACACTATATCGGTTAGTATTTCATTATTTTTTTATAATTAGTTATGATTTTATCTTTAATAAGATACGCCACTGGTATCAACAGACTTTTAGTTGCGTACAACAGCAGCGTTGCCAGACGAGATTTTCGATTAAAGTCTTCTTTCGATCCGCATAAAATATCTTCTTTCTCTTCTTCGATGATTGGGACCAAACAAAACATACTTTATGAATGAAATGCATCATCTGTTGTTTCTTTTATCTAAGATAAACACCTACTCTTGCATTTTATTGATATAGGCAAAAATCACACGTTTTTTTTTATTTATTATGAAAGTAGGTATAGTATGTTTTATGAAGAAATAAATGTGAATGGTATACATAGTTTAAAATATACATCATTTTTGAAATTATTTACAAAAATGCAAAGAAACAAAGAAATAAAAGAAAACATACTTTACAAACCAAAAAATTCTAAAACAAATTAAAATACATTAACGTAAAAAGTTTTCTAAAATAGGTAAATACTTAAAACTTAAAGTAGATGCTACCGAAATATTCTGTATTATCTTTTTTCGTTTCGCGTTTTTTTATTGATGGCTTCTAAGATATACTCAGGATCTTTTATGGGCATGTTTCTAGCCTTTCGAGAATCGATTATTTCGGGAATCATACAATCGTAGAAAAAGCTCCATCTTATTTTTCCAAAACTCTAAATCCCTTAGGATTGTTTCTGTTTTCATACCCTGTGGCGTCCAAAGCGCAAAAATACAGTATGATCTTCTCGTTATCTGTAAATGCCCTTGAACTTGGTAGTACCATTTGTGGTTTTTATTAATGTCGTTATTTTGCCAAAAAGTAATATTTTTCGTTTGAATTCCTTATTCTGGGGTCATTTGTCTTCCAGAATAAGGATACTTTATTTCAACTAGGCCTCTTTCTTCTATAAGACCATCTGGGGTTGCTGCCAAAAAAGGTTGTTCGATATCAACAAAAAGACCGAAGGATCTACAGTTTTTCTAGTTATTTTTTTCTAGTTGCTTTCTAGCATTTTCTTCATTTTTTCGTAGTCACAAGCTGCCGAATAAAATCTTTTGGCATACGATATTGTCTCCAAAAGTGATTTACAGCTGGTTGTTGTTCTTTTCTTGCAAACAATCCCAAAGAGCGATGCTGTAAGTCTCTTTCTTCTCTCAATATACCATAAATCCGAGGCATGCTGGCCTCTAGTTACTTCCTCTAGTCTAGTTTATCTGCTTCTTCTGAAGTTTTCTTTAAATTTTCTAAAAACATTCTCTGAGCATATAAAAATTCTTCAGGAGGCATATCTGGTTTTTGGCACGTTTTGTCACCTTTATTCGTTGATGGTTTTAAGAAAGTCAGTCTTTTTCTTGATTTTGGGTGGGCACGTTTTTTTCTCATATATCTTTTAAGATAAAAACTAATTTCATATTTTTATTTTATGAAATATACAAAGTATTGTTTTCTTTAATTTCACTTTGACTTAAAAACGCACATCAATGTTTAATTGTTTTAAGGTTGATTATCGCAAAACATTGTTTATCTGAATTTAATATCTCTTACCTAATGTTCATATAGGATATAATCAACGTTAGAATTATGGTTGTTTTATCCCTAATACATAAAAATGTCTATAAATTAAGGATCATAATAATAAAAAGGTTTCAAATTATTTTTTTTTAGTTCCAACGATAAACTGAGCTACTACTTCAATATCCACTTAAAATTACTAAATATTTTTGGATTATGGACTGACATGCGATTCATAGGCGGCTCGTTAACGCTAACAATAATCTACAGCATCTTAGCAATTTTACTTTTTATAATTGCCCCTCAATTTTGCCACGTGGTCTACATGTACAAAGCCAGAGATAATGTGGTAGCTTTTGCAGACGAATTTTATGTATCTCTCGCATCAGTGATAGTGGTTTTCAAGGATTATGATATGATCAGAAAACGAAAAATTATTAGTGAAATGTTGGATACTATGGATTCTGAGATTATGCAACCTTCTAAAGGACAGACGCAAAAAATACATAAAGTTAGTAAATCATTATTGCAATTTAAACCAAAAGAAAATAGAGTTTAGTACCAATTAACCCTTTCACTGCCCATCTGTATGTAGGCGACATGCCAGAGGCCACTAAAAAAATTTTGTTATTTAAAAAACCTTGCACCCAACAAACAGTTAACTGTCGGGAAACTGAATATGTTGGCAGACCGAGTTCGGACCAAAACTTACCCATTTAATACTGACCAACACTGACAAATTGATGTTTGCCCAGCGCTGGTAGTTGTTTTTCCCATGGTCATTATTGTCAGAGACAACCCAGCGAGACGTGTAACTCAATGTATTTTTTTTGTTCGGTAAAAGTTGTTTGGGCGATTGTATCCACAACCAGTTTATGATGGCGTCACTAGTAAATAGCGGGAAATTTAAAAATGCTTAAGGGCGGGAAATTCAAACATAGATTCAGAAATAAATAGTTTTTCTATACAAATTTACAGAAGAAACAAAAACTATTGTTCCACTGTATATTAAAAAATGTAATAGCTTCCAATAACATCAAATTTTTTATCATATAAATAATAATTTTAATAAAGGAAGTTTTAATCAGTTTAATATAAGTAGTGAACATAGTTTTTATTAGTCTTGTAAATTTCGCTAAAAAATACACGAAAATTCTATTGATTATTAAATATTTAAAATTGGAAAAATAATACACCAAACTCTTTTTCTATAAATTGTATTTTTGTAAGATACAGAAAAACAAACTACAATTGCTACATTTAGAAAGTACCTCGTATCATTTTGTGACAAATTACAAAGAAAGTCACAGTTGTTATATTTTCATAATATATTTAAAAAATAATGTAACAAATATTTTATAAAGTATATGGATACCTTTTTGCCAGACTATCATGTGCCATTTGAACAAATGTCGCTTACTGCTCTTAGGCTCTTAGGGTCATTAAGATCAATAGATTTATATGCCATGCCTTCTAAAAGGGAATGAAGGATGACATACTATCATCATTTAAACAGGACGCTGCTGAGGGCTTACACCTGTTATGTCGTCTGTTTGTGTATCTTGTGCGTGTGCATTCCTGTTGTGTCCCCAGTAATGTAAAATTTCCTAGTGTCCTAATTTGGTGACTAGGTGGACCTTCTCCAACTAGTCGTATAATCTATTCGATCTGCTCTGCAGCACGAGGTACTTTTCAATCCTAGCAAATAATAAAATTAATAATAAACACAATCGAAACTGAGGCCCACAAGGGCAAACTCGTAGCGTAACAAAAACGAGAAATGATTTAACTTGGAACGAAATACCGAAAGCCGATAGTAGTATTAACACGTTGAATTTTTTGGTTTGTGAAGCATTGACATTATTTAGGTTAAACCATGTGATGATTTTCACAAGCCTTGATTTTTAACACCATTCTATATCGCCTTTTGATAAGGGTTTAAAAACTTGTTCGAGCAATTTATCCAATAATAATTGGCGCCTTTACCTCTTAAGCCTGCTCATGTAAAATATTTGGGCTTCTTACTTAGCCTATTTATATTCTATTAATAAAGGACAGAAGGATGAGTATTACAACTATGTTAAAAGAAATAAATTGGCTTTCAGTTGAGAATTATGTTCAGTACATGACTGATATTAATTTATAAAATAAAAATGACATAGTACCATCGCATCAGATCTATTAGAAAAAAATTCAATATAAATAAATGTATTCAAAAGTAATCTCAAACAATACTTGATAAATAAACAACGGATATACTTTCTTATGATAATACTCTTTAAACCTGCCCTTTTTAAGTATTTCCCTTAATTTATTGTTATTTTACCCCTCGTTTTATCCGCATTTATTATAGATTATTTGTTTTAAGATCATGTACTTTATTTTAAAAAATTATATGTTAATGTTATATTAATACCACTTACTATGTTTAAATTATTAATAGTTTTGCGAAGATAGGTTATAGCAACTTACAGCCACAAAACTATTTTTGTGTTAAAGTAGATCCATAGAGAGCAATGTAATTTACAAAGGCCTTCTTTCAACATACAAATAAATGACAACTTTATAATTAAAATGAAAAACACAACAAAATACCTCGGTATCATAAATGATCCAAATTTGAAATGGGTATTATATCATATCTCTTTTTTATATAATAAAAAAGTGCTTTGTATAAGAACATTATATTATCTGTCTTGCTGTACCTTTATTTATGGAAAGCCTGAATTGAGATACACTACAAATTATTTGCAATAAATATCAAAAGAAGTATACATTTTTAAATAATTTTGAAATTTAAAACCTACTTGATAAAACAAAATTTGATTTTTCTCGAAAACGGTCGACTTTAGAGCGTATGACCAAAAGTAACTTTTTTCTGTAGAAAACATTGGCCGTTTAAATGGGCGTCTCAAAACCGTACTTTTTCCAGTGGCGTAGAATTTTTTTTTTTTTTTTTCAATTTTAACACCCTGTATCTCGAAACTGGTGCATTTTACAGGGTAAGTTAATAGAAACGTTTTTTCATATTTTTGGAAGAGTTATCACGTCCTGAAGTTCTGCGCATATATTATGAAACACCCTGTATAGTGGTTTTCCTAATAAATTAAAAATTACTTACCTCTAGAAAGAAACGTGTACAAAAACGCGAGTTTAGTTCCAGAAATTGCTTCATGTAAAAAATAATATGCGAAAATAAACATTCCCGCCCAAAGAAAATTAATTAAACAACAAAATCAGACTCAAAGAAATAAACGGGGACCAAATTAAATGAATTTTAATAAAATGCACACGTTCATAACAACATTCATAACATTGTCAGTTGTACTGTATACGTCGAAGTCAAAAAACCAGCAACATCAGCGACCTCTAGGATTGGTGTTAGTCTTATTGAAGATAGATAAATATATGTAAAGATCAATGTAAAAGAGAAAGAGAGTCATATATGTAAAGATCAATGTAAAAGAGAAAGAGAGTCATATATGTAATTTAAATGGACCACCGAACAAATTTTCCTATTAAGTTACACGTCTCTGTTGTCTCTGTTATTGTACAACAAAATCGGACCGTGTGTGGGAAATGTACGCCCATTTAAATAAATACCTAATTTCATATTTGACATTTTAAGCATAAAAATATAGTTTTAGTTTTTATTTCGTTTTGAAGGTTTTCTATTAATTTAAAATCGTTTGAAATATATCAACATTAAAAAAATTTGGCATTTCTTAGGTCGCAGTTTTTTAAAATATTAATTAAATTTAGAAATACAAAATGGCAGATCCAATATGGCGTCCGAAAATAATAAAAAAATGCCTATTTTGCATAAAAATTAAAAGCGTTTATAAAAGGTTTTCTAGGTCGCTGATTTTGAATAAAATTTTGAATAAAAGTTAGTAATACAAAATGGCGGATCCAATATAGCCGCCGACAAAATTAAAAAATTCAAGACTTGAAATTGAAAATGACTGTTATAACTTATTAATGAATTACGACTTATTTAATATTTTTGTCTTCCATTCCCATCAAGATCGTCTATATGAAATACTATATTTTCAAGCTCAAAGTTGCACTCGTCTTCATCTTCAGTTTCGCTAGTAACATTTAAAATGTCATCATCTTTAAAATTAATGTTAAAGTCTGCATTATTAATAACTAATAGATCTATATAACATCTAGTGACAAAAGTTTCTTATTCTCCATTTAGGAATTATCACGAGTAGGCACTAAAGCCTTTTACCGGTGATGTTAAAGATTCAGAATGGATGACATACCCACATGGCACGTAATACACATATTTATATCATATCATAACGATTGCATTTCTTCTATTTTTAATATATATTTATTTTGATTTCAAATTAAAATTTAGCGAACTCAAAAACCCCTTGGAAATCGTTTACGTTTCATTTTTATGCAAAAAAGCAATTTTTTTCTTATTTTTGGACGCCATATTAGATCTGCCATTTTGAACTTTGGTTTTATTGGCGATTTCAGAAAAAGTTGAGTCCCACCTAATATTCAAGCCAAAAGGATATCCTTGTTATTGTTTGTTATTCGGAAGTTCTAGTCTTTTAAATATCAGTAACTGATAAAATCATTACTTTTATGTAATACTAGTAATTTTTGTATACAGTGAGCATCATAAGTCTTACCCCCCCCCCTATCTAACTCGTTACTGGAGTCTTATCGATTTTTGATTTCTACAATGTACATTTTTGTATGAATAGTTTACCCTTCATTTCATCCCTTACTGGAGGGGAGCAACCCATTCGAAAAATTTAAATGGCATAGGGTAGTGAGTGATAGCTCATTTGAAAGGAGGTTTTATTCTCTATTCAACTGTGCAAAAAATTTTGAAATTTACTTCATTAATAATTCTCGACTAATTATTGTTTCAGAATAACGGAAATTAACGTAGTCCACTCATCCTTAGAATTAAAATTCGGCCCTGCATGATATCGGGTTTGGTTCAGACGTGAAGTAAGACTTTTTACCATTAGATAAGGTCACTGTTAGTTTAGTTGCTTTCCTATTTTTGATGATTTGTTATTTTTAAACATTAATAAATCAGCACTTCATGAAGCAAATTTCAAAATTTTTTGCACGGTTGAATAGAGAATAAAACCCCCTTTCAAATGAGCTATCACTCACCACCCCATGCAATTTAAATTTTTCGAAAGGGTTGCTCCCCTCTAGTAAGGGATGAAATGAAGGGTAAACTATTCATATAAAAATGTACATTGTAGAAATCAAAAATCGACGTGTCTCGGCGATTTTCCTAACAAGACTCCAGTAACGAGTTAGTTAGTAAGATTTACGATGCTCACTGTATAATATGGGTATATTAAATATTTTCAGGTAATGAGTTTTTGGAAGAAATTGTTTTGGTCATTACTTACTTTTGAATCTTGTTTCTGTCTCTGTCAACTGATAACTCCTATCATCGATAAAATACAAACAGGTTGGTATTATTTACTTAATTTTATGAGAATATTCAATTTTTCTTTCTGAATATTACGGTTTACAGAAGGGTATATAGAAAACAAAACACGGGCAATTCAATTGTCAAATAATTAAATATTTTAATTAAATAGTATGAATTATCCAGTAAAAGCAAATTGAATTATTGAAATATCTATAAATCACCAATAAACCCCACGAAAACTACACTAGTAGCCTTTTTGAGGATAATAAAAGAACTCAATCTCAAAACCTTCAAATTAAACGGGATAGATATAGAATGGAAAAAAGAAGTCAAATATCTAGGCCTAAGCCTGGAAAATAAACTTCTCTGGAGAAGGAAGTAGTAAATGGGGCCATAAAAGCCATAATGGTATACAGAAACATTGTGGGTAAACGATGGGATGTAACCCGAACCGAACACACTGCGATGGATGTATATAGCAATAGTGAGACCACTCATGACTTACAGGGTTATAGCCTGGAGTAAGAGAACTAGTTTAGCTACTACGAGAGCTAATATATCAAATGTACAAAGTCTAGCCTGTGTTTGCATCACTGGTGCAATGAAAACCTATCCTACTGCCGCAATAGAGATGATCTTATACCTCATCCCTCTACGTTTAATGATAGAGAACGTGGCAAAAAGGGCAAGATATAGAATGATCAGAAACAGAGTAGACGAAAGTCTATTAGCTTTAGGACCGAAGATACATGGAATATAAAAACTTGAAACCACAGAGCTGGGCTGCGAGAAACACAACAGATCTTTTAGGTTGCAGTGTATTAACACATTCCCAACATAACCTTTAAATAAAAAGCTGAACACAATAGTAATATTATACTGTTGATCACCCTATGTAGAACAATAAATAATGATACTGAAAAATGTTTGTAAAGTAGGCCATGATCGACAAAGATAGAGATACGACTCATGATGGAGGGTGAGTTTTTCGGGTTTTTCTCACCTGTAAGTCAAATGGCACCATCAGTCATCTTTGGGTAAGTTCGGTTTGGAACTCGACGGATCGCACAGAGCGCGCACGGAGTGCGTGACGTCATAGACAGAGTTCACTCTTTTTAGAATCTCAAGACGAACACAAGGGGAATGACATCAGACACTAGTGATAGTTTGCACTTGAATACACTTTTGTGTGTGTCTATGGACTGTAAAAAAATAATTTTAATCAAATAGAAAATAGTTATAACAGAAACAAACAAGAAATATTACGTGTAAAACTGATTAATCACCGATCAGAACATTGACATTTGACATTTTTGACACATTCTTACAGATACTCGCTGATCTCCATCGGCCAACTCGGAGAAGAGTGAGCGCGCTCTGAGTACGTGATCTGTGGCAAGCCGAACACAAAAGAGTACGCTCTGAGTGCCAAGGCGACCACAATCGAGGCATACCGAGTGCACTCTGAGTACAGCGAATGCCAATCCGAACTCAGCCTTTAAGTAGCCCCAGAGCGCCTCGGCAAATAATAATAATAATGGCCGCCCCTTCCCCACACAAACTCAGTAGGCATCATTGGTTGAAATTCACTCATAAGGGGGTGAATTAGGGGCATTATTATTATTATTATGTCCGTAATTATTAGGCGCGGCTCTGAATTAAATCCAAAGAAGATGAATTGTACGTTCGACACACGTGAATTTTTCCAAGACCTACTTTAGCAACATTTTTCCTTACTATGAAGAACAATAATTCTACAGAATGTGATCAACAGCATTATTTGAATAATTTAATCAGCTTGGAGGAAAATAAAAATCGCATGTAAAATTTAAATTTATTTTTCCAAACATTTGCAGGTACTAAGAATGTCCCACTGGTAGACTGTTATCCCTTCTACATATACGCATCGCCTGTTTATGAAATAATGTACATCTATCAAAGTTTCTTATTATCATATTTACTCATGCACAGTATGCTTTTTGATACTTTTGTCACAGGACTAATGTCTTTTTGTGCAGCCGAATGTGACATACTATTTGAAAATTTGATGGCTTTGAAATTGGAGGAAACGGAAGTAGTCTATAGAACAAAATTGGTGAAATGTATTAAACATCATGAAGAAATATGCAGGTGATAAAAAATTAAAAGTTCTTTTTCATGCGCATAATAAAAATCAACCAGAACCAGAACTCTCTTACCAAACCAAACTTCTAGATTTAATCTAAATTACCTTAATGCGAGCTAGAGCTCGTTTGGCACCTTCAAAAACGATTACCTCAAAAGTTTAAACTTTGCACATTGACTAAGCTTGTATCTAATGACCAATCAGCTGCTTTAGATGTGATTTTTCTATTGTAATCACACAGCTTTATCTAGGTTTATTTTTAGGTTTGCTACTAACATAGAAAAATGCTTCTCACCAACTATATTGGGACAGTATTTCTGTAGCTTGATTTCTGCCTGTACTACAATGTTTAAACTGTCTTTAGTAAGTTTTAATTCAACTAAGTAAAATTTCAATATATTTTTTATTCGAATGTGTCAAAAACGTCGTTTTTCGGACAGAAAACAATCTAAAACTAGAACGTTTCTTATTTCAAATGAACTGCAAATGTACAATACTTTTCCGTTAGATTCAGGGGCTGGTAACTCAAATGGAAAAACATGAGGAAGGTAATTTAGTACCACTCCAATTAACGGGATGGCGCTCGTATCGAAATGTCATGTCAGTTGGTCTAATCTTCAAACTTGAAGAAATTAAATTAAAATGGCTATTGCATTTGAAGGTGTATTGAATTTTGATTCATCTAGAATCTAGATTTATTTTTCAACATCTTCCAATTTTAAGCATGTTTTCAAAAGATGGGAAGATGGATTTCAGCAACAAACAATAAAGCACTCCCAGATATTGGTAGTAATGCAGTTTATACCACATTAAATATGCAGTCGTCATATTAAGGATAACCAAATAATTTGTAATAAATGTCTTAAGAAAAATGCACCATCACTGTTTGGCACCAACGGTAAGTAATACTTAAAAACTTGTTTTTGATTCAGTGTTAAAATAATTGGTTTGTTATTTAAAATTCTTTTTGTTTTCAGTTTTTAAATGATCATTGTTGTAAAGAAAATGTTGGCCCTCCAAAATACCCTGATGTCGATCGATGAAATATTTGAGCCTCAGCCATCAATATCAAAAATTGATTCAATGCCATTGACATCAAACAAGAAAACACCCTAAAATCTTCAAGTATCCAAACGTGTGTAAGTTTAATTTATGCTCAAAAGTTAAATTCATTTATCATAGTGCCCACATGATGAATAAAAATTTGATAACTACACGTGCTGTATAAATGATACAAGAAAACAATTATCGGCTGAAGAAATGCTCCTCAACCTAACTAGTCGACTCAATAACCGTATGGCAAATTTTATCCACACTCAAATTTGCCTCGATAGTAAAAAAGCAAAACTTTTATAAGGTCTTGAGCACTTATATATGCTGATTTTGTTACAGAAAACATTTTTGATAGGTTTGTTTTATAAATATTTAATTATTTAAATGGTATAAATGCATATTTGTTTGAGTATTTCCATGTTTAAATAGACAAATAATATGATACGGCGTTAATTTACTGTAATAAAAAAATTAAATAAATTGAATTTTATTTCAAGTTTGAAATTAATGCAAAAATATAATGAAGTAAAATCAAATAAAGATATAAATTGGCAAAATATTTGACTAGTTTCAAATCACAAAACAGTCAATATGGTTGTTTTATGATTTGAAACTAGTCAAATATGTTTCCAATTTTTTGCTTTATTTGATTTTCTACTACATTTTTGCGTCACTAAAAAGTTAAATTTCAAAAAGCCCGCTCGTTGCGGCCATATTGAATTTTAGTACCACTCCAATTTGATAGATAGCAGCACATCGACTCAGAATTTTACCATTGAGTTTCCCATCTATTCACATTACGTAATCTATGGTTAGACTCAGCATTCAAAAATCAGGGCCGAACACATACTTTTCAAAGTATGTGGGGCCGAAAGACTCAAGCGGCTATGATTTCTAAATATTCTTAATGTTCAGTGTATTTTTGAACTGTACCTACTACTGGCTACTACTGACTAATATATTTTTTTATTATCGTAAAACAATAGTCCATAATTGCATGCACCTCAAATTGGAATTAGAATAAAAGAAGTAAAAGTTGGAAAGGCTTTTGCCAGTTCTCCCACTTTATAAGTACACATAAATTGACAGGTTTACGACGGATCTCACCGAAGTGGACGCGATACATTGGCGTACAAAATTATTTTATAGATATTAATAACAATAATAAATTGGGAATAGCTGTTGAAATTTTGTAAAATTATGATTTGAATATTATATTACATGTTTAATAATTATTTATAGTCCATAAATACATGCGATTGTCCGGTTCCGCCGATAACAATTTAAAATTACTTATTCTATGAAACGACACTGGCAGGTAAACATTACTGCGAAATTTTCGAAGCCGTCCGACGTGGTTTGACGTTTACCCCCTCTCTACCTACCGAAAGCCATTTCAACTTTTACTTTCGCTATATTTTCAATTGAATAAAAAATACCTAAATAAACTAGCATGTGACATGTGATCCACAAAAAATATTTTCTAAAGTAGATCATGATCGATAGACAGAAGAAAAATTTTACAATACGACGCATTATTTATGCCGTGGGCCGTGGCCTACTTTAGAAACATTTTTTTCTGGATCATTCCATATAATTAAATTGACACAAGCACACTGACATGACAGAAATTGTTCAATTGTTATCAAGAATCTATTCGTATAGATCACAACCTATGAGTCATAAGAAAAACCGAAAATAACAGATTTAATTTTCTGTATTTTTGTAATATCCCAACACATTCGAATAAAATTATAATGCATGAAACACGTGCGGAAAGTGTTTTTCCTACGGCCACTTAGGAAAGTGACACATATCACACTATATAGTCCTATGGAAAGTGCCCTATATCACACGCGTATGAATAAGAATTTACTTTCCACCCGTGTACGAATATGCTACTTTCCGCAGCAGCTGTCACAAAATGTCAAACACATCATTTCTATTTTGATTTATGTAATGTCCATATTAATACTAAAATCGATATGATTGTTAAATTATTGAAATTGTTGTAAATTAGATCCTAGATATTTATCTTTAACAATTATTATTAAAATAATTTTAAAATAACTAAGATATGTTTGCTTTTTATTCTGGTTAAACCATAACCGATTAGATCATTCAATTGATGCAAGGCCTATTAGCTCAGATGGTTACAGTGTCAAACTTATCAACTTTGCCATTTGAGTCTTGGCGAGCGACCGCGTTCAAATCCTGGCGGGGCCAGAATTTTTGTTTTATTTTTTTTTTATTTTCTTTTTTTTTGTTTAGAGAATATGAAAATTGAATAAATACGACTATTGTTGATTACTTTTTTAAATACATTTTAATTATTATAATAATAACCTGGTTTTACATTTTTTGATGAAATTATTTTGTGGTCGTAGGAAAAATATTGTACATCACTTGTGTGAATAGTAATTTTCCACACTCGTGTGATAGTCGCACTGAGCTTGTGCCTCGTGCAACAATATTTCCCGCTCGTGTGAAAAATGTCACACTCGTAATGTAATGTAATATACTATTCTCAGGCTCCTACGAGTTGCCAGACTCGATTAATTACCTACATATCGCCAGACAAACTATACTTTTCGTCATTATTACATTTAACTACTATTTTGTGGGGTATGATCGTTTTTTTGTTTTAGGCTGAACCTATGAGTATCGAGTTTTATAAAGTTGTCGTTTATATGGATGTTATTCTTATTCAACAATTTTTATACTGTTGGATGGGCTCAGATGTTACTGAAAAGGTTACTTTTTTTATTTTACTTTTAACATATTTGCAGGGCGTTTCCAAACTTCTACTCAAAAATATTGTAAATCAGAAAATGTGCCGTTCTATATACATATAAAGCGTATCAAATATCAAAAAATAAACTAATTTTGAATAACACTCAATATTTATTGGGATGTGAAATTTTCTAAACGTTTCCTACGCCCTAAACGCCACTGAAATGGGAGCAAAATTGTTCTTTAATCTTTTTTCAATGAATTTTACATAAAAATTATATTATAGTAAACGTAACCGCTATAAACCAGGTCTGCAGAAAAATGTAATAATTGTTTAGTAGTACCTATATGAGGGAGAGTTCAAGTACTACATGAGCCAACTTTCGATGATTTTATATTCCCACCTCACACCCCTGTACAAGTCATAAGAATAAATTCGTAAACCCCCTCCCCAAACTTTTTTATTAAGTATCAAAATAAAAATTTCAAAAACAAAATTAACTGGGGTTCCCCGAATTGAACATCGGTACCTACATTTAACAAACAAGGTAGGTATAAACCTATTAGGTACTGCTGTATTACGTCAATTCCCGTAACACTTTCTAATAAATATGAAAAAAATTCGGTATAACTCTAATAAAAATAGCATTTAAAAATTTTGAAAATTCGGAAACAAATCTCAAAAAACCCCTTACGCATTATTAAGACCATCCCCGGACCCCAAATGTGAAAACAAATACTTGTAGATTTGAAAAAAAACTGTCTTCGCCTGGACACGTCCTACAGCCACTTCAGAAACGGCACTGTTAATTAGAACCCAACAGTGGACGTTCAAATGGGGAATTTTACCAGTACATCAGAATTAACACTGTTAATTAGAACCCCAACAATGGTCTAATGGGGAATGCTACCTGTGCATCAGAATTGTTAATTACACTAAATTATAAAAAATTCCAGCCAACTGTTGGATTTGAACCCCGAGCCCTTTGATTCGCAAATTGCAGACTGTAACCACTGAGCCAATTAAAAATATATACCTATTTTATTATATTTTTCTTATGTAAGATTTACAATATACCGCGGTTCCCTCTGTCGGCAAAAATAAGAAAAACTTGTACCCGCGTCGTCTAAGTATACTTACGCTTATGTAATACTTGAACACCCCCTTATTTAATGAGAATTGTTTATGTAAGTTCAGCGATAATTCTTTACCACTTTGACCGATTTCTATGATTATTTTTTTGTTAGAAAGGAGTTACCTCACAGGGGTAGTTCCGTATACAATTTGTCAGGATCTGATGATCTATGAGAAAATCAAAAATTTTTGAGGCTTCATCCCTGTTGAAAACGTCCAATAGATTCCATTAGAAAAAAAAACTTATCGGTATCTATTGTGTTTTTGTCGCAGTATATCCTAATAGATACCCATACCAATAGCAAAGTTGAAGAATTCAATTGGGATGTATCAAATTTTATTGGTCAGTATTTGTGTGATCATTTCCTATGTGAACATCCAGTACTAACGAATGAGTGATTGGATTTAGATTGGACTTCCTTATTTCATCTAAGTTTTGACTTAATGATTCTAAAAAGGCATTTCCTATAAAATACAGAATTGAAATTGTTGGTTCTTATTGGGATTTACAGGATTAGTTAAAAATCATTCTGACAAGTATCTACTATTTAATCAGATTCAGTGTGGTATGTCCGATTAAACGTAGCTGATTCTCTAAATACTCCGAACAGACATACCTATAATAATACTCAATTGGAATTGATGGTCGTTACTGGAGTTTCCACGAATAGTAATAAATGTATACAATGGGTATCTATTTGACAATACTTATTAAAAGATTAAACAAATATGATTGGGTTCATCTTGGATATCCTAATGAAATCATACTTATCGTAAAATAGTTTTAAAAGGGAACTCCTTTTATGGTACACAATCCAAATTGTTGGTCGTTGATGGGATTTCCACGATCAGTGAGAAAACACTTCAATTGGTATCTATGTGTCAGTACTTGTTAAATTAATAAAAAAATTAGATTGTGTTGTCCTATTGAACTTTAGTTATTTCCTAATTGTATCATAAAGACACACCGGGAAGAAATCATTATTGAAATTATTGGCCGTTAATAGGATTTGCAGGATCATTTGAAACTATGTTGAAGGGTGTTTTCTTTCTTAATATCCACTGGAAATTATTATACAACTAATAACTTTTACAATTAATTAAAACTTCTATTACCATTACTTATTTGTCTATGCTCTTTTTCTTTTTATTATTTATATAAATAATGACGTTAGAAAAATAGTATTGAAAAATGGAAAACACACTTTAGTTATGTATTATATTAAAATAAGCAACACAAAATAAGAAAATAAAAGTATACGCAAATATAAATAAACTTATTATTAGTTGTCGGTTTATTCCGTCTGGGATTCAGGTATTACTGGCGACAACTCCTCTCCTGAATACGTTTCATCAGATGTTTCAGATGAACTCTCTGATGAACTCTCCTTATCATCGATAGGTTTATTTAAACTTTTTTGCCGTGAATTTTTTGATAGTGACTTTGAATTTGGAGTTCTTGGAGGTAAATCAGGGTTTTTGAGTCGTATTATTATTATTAGTTTCGCTATTTTTAGTTTCAGCTACCTGTTTTGTAGTTGAACTTTTACAACCATTCTGATCGGCTGTAACAAAAGAAAATTATTTTTCAGTACTATCACTTATGAAAAATAGATTTGATAGAAATAATTCACATTTTAGCTGTATTTAACTGCTTCAGAAATATTATGGATAAATCTGTGTAAATAGGAAAAAAAGTAATTCAATGGACAAATTTCTATAAAATCTTCTAAATTATTTATATTTCGTAGAAATATTTTTGTAAAAACATGCATAAATTAAAAAATATTATTATTTTTTCATTTATTATTTAAAGCCACAGGTTTTTAAAACTTTTACATACCTGGATCAATTTTTTTAGTTCTTGGTGGTCGATTTAAGTCTCTAATTTTCTGCCGAATGTACTCTTCGTAAGCATCGACTTCATCTAACAGGTCCGATCCTTTCAAACCACGCGCAATTTTTAAATAAAATTCAAAAATATCTATAACAAAAAAGGTTTTTCAGATATAAGTAGTTTAATTTTAAGTTATAGATTAGTAATTTCCTGTGATAGTGATTAAAACTGTTAAAAATTCTAAAAATTACTATTTTTAATTTGATTTCTAAAAACCAACATTCCGTAATAAATAAGATATTTTAAATTCAAAAAGCTTGACCAACTACAAGTACATATATTTTTCTGCGCATTGCTATTTGTAAATAGCACGAACTTTTTTAAAATAGCATGCAAAACGGATCACTTTACGTAATTCTTCATAAAATTATTACCTCGGATCGCAAGAGCCTTCGTTGAATCAATAGCCGGTCTTGGCTTACTTTTGGTTTTATTAGAACCTTTTCCTGAAACGCTATGTGATTTTAAATACTCTGTTCCAAAAACAGAAACAGCAATATTTTTTACAAACATCCCTAATGAAGGAACCTGCTGTAAAGACATCGTTGTCATAAGTTGTTTTCGGTAGCCAGACTCCATGTCCAAGATGTATCTGCAATGTAATGACGAGCAAAATCAATTTTAAATTAATATTAATTAAAAATTATAAACCTTTTTCTTATGTATAATTTGTATAATTAAAATTTTAAATTTTAATTGCTCTTAATCTGTGTAAAGAACAAATCTATTAAAGCAAAAAAGCTTTATTACCATATTAGTGTCGACTCGAACGTAACCAACTGGAGGAGGTCGTCTGACGTCACTTAAGTCGGCAGAGACTTCCTTTGATGATTTCTTGACACCTAAATAATTGAAAAGAAAATATACATTTACTATAAAACTAAAACTATAAATAAAACATTTACTATAAAACTAAAACTGATAAAAGGCAAATTAGGCATGTTCATGTAGTTAATTCATTTTGTATGAACATTGTGCAGACTAATTTTTAAATGCGAAGTTAGTGTGATTAATGATTGAAAATATTTGTACATTTAAATAACAAAAAAAAAAATAAAAAAATAATTTACTATTCTTGGAAATGAATTTACTAAAATCAAATGTTAAAACAGGAGTTCCATGGAGAATCCTTTTCAATGAGACAACTCAAAAATAACTCTTGTAATGAAGTTACTAAAATCTATTGATTAAACAGGAATTCCATATAGAATCCGTTTCAATGCAGCAACATACTATATACCACATTAAAATAAAAGGCAATGAATTTAATAATGTTAACAAAAATTGTACTTACAATTGAATATAAATTACTCTGTACTGAATTAATTCAGTTCTTCCTGTAAGTGGATTTGGAGACAATTATTATTAAATAAGAGGCACATTCACTTGTTACAAACGCCGTAGGTCAGTCATGTGCGACAGCCGGTGAACAACTGAGTTGATTTTGGCGGGCGACTTCTAGTTTCTTTGTTATGAGTAAACCCTTCAAGATGTTCCCCCCCTCTCTCCCTTCTCCCACACCTGTATCGGCCTATTTTTTTAAGTGGCGCTTACTGGATTCTAATGGCTTAACTGGAACCTCTCATAAAATCCCTTTCATCTAAAAAATTTTTGTTTGCAGCTATTATTAATGCTTAAAGATCGACGAAGTTATTAGTGACAAGCTATAGTGCGAAAAGACATAAAATTACATGAATAAAAATTAATTGAATTAATCTCTACGGATTGATGCAACTTGAAATAATTATTTTGAGTCCTTCCTTATAAATAAACGATACTGATTATGATAATTATTAAATTGGAATCATAATTTTTTAAATACAAAAATAACCAAATTAATAATTAAACGCTTGGGACTTTTCGAACGCTGACGAAAGTTGGTTTTCTCTTGGATAAGGCTTATTAATTTCTAATGGTGACACAGGAGATCCATAAAGAATCCTGTTTAATCCGACATTGTAAAATATTTTTATGTTAGTTATTAATAATATCTACAACTGTAAAAAGAAAACATTTTAAACCTTAATTCAAATAAGCATTCACGGAAAAAAGCTGCAGTTAACGCTACAGCAGATGGAGTAAAATTTACCACACAGGTTAAATTCTCCATTTAAGACGCGGAAACTCTTATGGAGATTTTACACGTGAGGTAAATTTTACTCCATCTGCTGTAGGTAGCGTTGACTGCAGCTTTTTTTCCGTGTTGTCAATTAGAAAATAATTCGAAATATTGATACAATTTTAATTCACTTATGTGAAAGTTTATCGGAATAATATGACAAAAACGACTTCATTTTATAAAAAAAATTGCATTAATGATTTTCAAACCGTATGAACAGTATGATAAATTATTAAAAATTTAGGACCTTTCAAATAATACGCCGATAAATATTCGTGATTTCTTTGAATGGTGCTCATTGGTTTCTACAAGTCAAGCAGCAGCGTCATAAAGAATCCATTTTAGTCCAATGTTCTGTACTTTTATAATTTTGATAAATATTATTAATAAATGGACACAAATAATTAAACAAAAAATATATATATATACATTATAATAAAATATTGACAATCCTTCTGAATTTTTTACAACATTAAATTATATTACAGATTAATTTCATTTTCAATAAATCAATAAATGTAAGAACCTATTTATATAAGCAATATGATTAGTTATTTTAAATTTAGAATTTTTCGAACGTGATTAAAAGTCTGCAATTTTCTAATTGGAGCTTACTCGATTTTAACAGTGAAGCAGAAATTCCGCATAGAATCCCTTCTTCATTTTAACTAGGTATGTCTGATATATAACCACAAATCTCTACTCTTTGGTCATCCGCTTAAAATACATTTTCCTTTATGTAAAGAATTCCTGTTATATTTTATTACATAATGACATGGCCATTCCACATAACAACTTATGTTTTTTTTATAAATATGATCATTGATTTTGTAACTGGATCTACTGATAAATTGTCATAGACGTTTATAGTGAGATTGGATTTTAAAAGAATGAATTGTGTTTTTGTCGCTGGAAATCCTAACCAATTTTCTTAAATCCCATAGCATGGGCTAGACGGTAGTCCTTTTAGAATCTCATGGAAAAAATTGTCTGTTATCGGTGAATCCTTATACTTTTTTGAGTTATTTCTTATTAGGAACTACTCATACATTTCTACACTCTTGTCCATGGTTATTACCGATAAGGACCGACAACTTAACTAATTTTGAATATCCAAATAGAAATCCAGCTGCTGTTTTAACAGGAATAACGTGTAAACTCTTAAGCTTGATGAGGCTACTTATAACAAACACTACAATCTTATAAGTCAATTCCATATTAAATCCATGTGTTCACCGAACACATTCAAATTTCATTCATTCCCATTCAAAAAAAAGTTATATGTGGATTTGCCTTTATGTTTTCATTGATTGCAATCTTCGCTGTATCTGGAAAATTTTCGCTCCAGATAGACCAGATAGAAACCCATACGATTCCTATCGTATTCTATAAGTTTTCAATGGAAATTTTCAACAGGGATCATGCAGATGGCATGATTTTGAAGTCAGTTTTTTAAAATTACTTTAATAACTTGTATTATATTTTTTAGAGCAAACAATTACCTTTGGCAATATACGAGGCATTTAAAATTGATTCTTCAAAGGAAGCAAAAAAAATGATTCAATTATTTATAGGAAAAACTCAAAAACCTATAGTATTTAAAACTGTACTTTTTGATCTCTCCGTGCAACAATTTTTACAGGTAGGTATAATATACAAATTCGATAAATGTCTATTGGTCAAGTAAACAATTATATTGCTTGGACAGGTCGATTTTTTTTAGATCGAAATATTTTGATATACGTACATTTTTCTAAATATGACGTAATCATCAATGTTTTAAATGGCACCACCATTTTTGGATAGTGCCCATAAAATAGTACATTTTTTGTGTATAGACAAAACAATTTGTCGTCTGTTACATAAAATAATATCGAAATAAAGTTTTCCATCAGTAATCAACAATGTAGTGAAATAAACTGAGAAATAATAAATATACAGTTAAAAATAATAAAATATCATGCAAATTTCAAGCTTGTTTTCATCTCTTAACAATAAACTAGTCGATTATAAAATTCTTGCAAAACGTTGTCCTATAAAGCGTGCATTTCGAAAATATTGTGCTGCAACAACATACACATTTTTGTTGTCAATATGCAAAAAATTACTTTCTTAAATGGTACTATCAAAAAATGGAGTGGCCATTTAAAAAACTGACAAATAAGTCATAATTCGAAAAGTGATTACGTCATAAATACATACGTATACCAAAATATGCGCTTCTAAAAAACAAAATCGACCTGTCCTAGCATTAATTCTTTATTTGACCAATAAAGATTTTATTGAATTTGTTCCAACCTTTACATGCTCACTGTATATTTTGTCATACCAGTTCATAATTGTTTTTTATTACTAAGTTACCAACCCCTGCAGGTATAGAGCTTTAAGGGAATAAAAACTTTTTAATAACTTTTATTAATAAAATTAAGAAAAATTAAATTATTATGCATCTGCTTTTTCTAAATTTTTATATTATAAATGCAATATACAGGGTGTTTATTAAGTACTTGTACAAACTTTAAATGGTGAATCTTTGACTTATTTTAAGGCAAAACGTTCATATGAACACATGTCCTAAACCTCTTAACTTTTGAACTACAGGGTGGTAAAGTTTTCAGAAAAAAATTTTTATTTTCTAATAACTAAGAATATTGCAGATATTTTTACGAAATTTGGTACACGTCTCCTACGCATTATGATGCATTTTTTAATGTACAAATAATTTTAGTATTTCTACCAGTGGCGCCCATACGGGTTTCGTATTAAATATTTTTGCCGAAAAAAATAGTACGCCACTGCTTGATCTTAAAATAACAAATATTTTTGCAATCCTCATTTAGTTTTGAGCAAATTTGGTCTGATGAGTTTTTTTCTCCGACGCATAGTTTTCGTCCGACGCATAGTGTATTCTGCATGGAACAAGTGAAAAATGTGTCTTTTATTGATCAATATTGTTATGTGATAAACTTAGATTATTTACAGACTAAGACTAAACTACTTTTACAAATAAGTTAATAACATTTACAACAATTGCTGAAAATGCCCGTCGCCTACTGCAACGCATGCGTCAATTCGCCTTAACATTGATTGACGTACTCTTTCGAATATACTTGGTGTCTGATTAATAATGGCACACGATTCAAATATCCTGTTTCTTAGATCTTGCTCATTTTGAACGGATGTTTTGTAAACTAGTGTCTTTAAGTGACCCCACAGAAAAAAATCCAGAGGATTTAAATCTGGTGATTTGGGAGGCCAGGCTTGCGGTCCCGCTCTTCCTATCCAACGATTAGGATAATTCTCGTTCAGCCAAACAAAAGTGTGCCGGTGCGCCATCGTGCATGAACCACATCCTGTTTCTGGTAGCCAAATCAATTTCTTCTAAATGTTCAGGAAGCTCGTGCTCCAAAAATATTCTGTACTCTTCGCCATTTAGCCTTTGTGGAAGGATGCAAGGTCCAATAAGGTGATCCCCGATAATTCCGACCCAAATATTTAGAGAAAAACGATCTTGGAAATTATTTTCTATGATAGCATTGGGATTATCCTCTCAGACCAGATATGGTTGTTGTTCATGATGGCGTTTCGAGAAAAAGAAGCTTCGTCTGTAACAAGTACATGGCCTAAGAAATCCGGGGTTGTTAATAATTTATTTGCCACACAATTGTATGCGTAATATTCAATTCATGAGCAATTTTCCTTGTACTAGTTTGCGGGTCTTCTTCAATTCTATTTAACACAGCTTCTTCAATTTCAGGTGTTCGAACTGTCGCAGGCCTTCCTCGGATATCAATTGTTCTTTTACAGCTGCCAGTTTCACAAAGTCTTGCGTGAATATTAATGAAAGTTTGGACAGGTGGAACCACCCGTTGAGGAAATCGGGCTTGATACATTCTTTTTGCAGCTTGTGCATTACCGTGAGCCATTTCGTAGACGAAATGAATGTCTGCCATTTCTGCATTGGTATATTCGTACATTTTGAACACAATAATAGACAATAAATTATTACATACATACATTTTTAAATGACAAAAACCATGATCTTTTTTTTAAATAAACTGTCATGACTGATTCCGCTACCATGGTAACCTCTCGGTTGTTTGCAAAGCTTGCTATGCATGTATGTACAATTGTACATTTTAGCAATTTGACTCTGAAATAAAACGGATTTTATTTTTTAAAGCGTAAACTATGCATCGAACGAAAAAACTCAAGAGATTAAATTTGTTTAAAAATAAATGAGAATTTCAAAAATAATTTTTGTTTTAAGATGAAGCAGTGGCATACTATTTTTTTCTGCAAAAATATTCAATACAAACCCCGTAGGTATGGACGCCACTGGTAGATAACATAAATTTGTACATCAAAAAATGCATCTTAATGCATAATATACGTGTACCAAATTTCGTAAAGATATCTACAATAGTCTCACAATTATTGGAAAAAATAGATTTTTTACTGAAAACTTTACCACCCTGTAGCACAAAAGTTAAGAGGTTTAGGACACGTTTTCATATGAACTTTTTGCCTTAAAATTAGTCAAAGATTCACTATTTAAAGTTTGTACGAGTACTTAATAAACACCCTGTATAACGAACTAGTATCACATGGTATCAATAATGTTTATGCCCTAGGGCAACTTGAAAACCTTTGAGTTCATAAGATCGTCGCCCTCAGGGCATATACACATCTAATTGGTACCCTTGATATATAAATAATAACTATTATCTACTCCCATTCTATAATGTATGTAGTTATTTTAATAATTACTATATTTTTTATACAATGAAATGGTAATAATAAATATATACATCATGGATTTCAAATGATAAAATCCATTGACAAAATTTAAAAAATAACAAAAAGTTCAATTTTTTAATAACTAATTTTCTTTATGCATTTCTTTTCAGCTTATTAGAAGTTCTTTTTCATATTATACTGTCCTGTCTACACTAAATGAAAAATGAACTAATTGAAATCAATGTCAATTACAATTTTAGCTTGTGCATCTTATATAATAAATAGATAGAATCATAAATTGTTTTTTTTTTTTTACCTATAATATATATTCTATTTAATTATTACAATGAGTCTATTTAGGAGGTTGATATGCAAGTGGGGGTAGGGTTGCCACCTTTTCATTTCTTAAAACCCATACATAATCAATACATTTAGGGTTGCCAGATTTACGAAAGGGAAAAGCGGAACAATGGTGATGACATGGGATCAGGTTAAAAAACCATATAAGATCTCCTTGTATTGTGAAATTTCTAAAAAAAGGGGTCCTCAGCTTATACTTTTATGAACGAGGTCCTTGTAGAAACGGCCTCAGCTTATAATTTTATAAACCAGGTTCTTCTATCGCAGAGCTTCTAAAAAAAAATCTTAAAAAAAAATTCTAAATAAAGGTCTTTTCAAAAATGTATAAAGTTATCCAGATATTCCCGTACATTTTCATCATGCGACCGGACACCGGACAAATTGTTAAAAACCCGGACAATGCAGGTGAAAACCATACAAGTGGCATCCCTACGTGGGGGTAAGGTGGTATATAAGTAAAAACTGTTAAAAAGTGTAATGGTAAGTTTGATATTTTATTTCCTATATACCTACCTACTTGATTACTTGCACATATTTACATACTTATCTATTTATGTTTATTAGCAATTCTTTCATTAAAAATAAACTTATTTAATTAAACAATCTATACACTATAAATAAAACTGACAGTTCCATCTGCCAGTTAGAATTTAACAATTTCAACATACTCCAGAAATGTCTCCACATGCTCTGTTAAAAATAACAGAAACTTTCCACAATCAATAATAACTTTCATAGCGGTACCTATTTATTCAAAACTAGGTACCACTAGTTTGATTCATATTTACCTATCTGTGACTGCAGAATCTAGTTTTGTTTAATTTTTATGAACACAAGGAATAATATTAATTTTAAATTTTGCACATTCTTTGTTCCCTTCAGATACTTACATTTTATAATCAGTTATCTAATAATTTAAAATAATGACTTTTGAATACATCAATAACAGGCAGTATTCTTTAGCTCTTCTACAATGAAAGTGATCAATATACAGTTATAATTGAGATAGAATAAAGAGGAGACGCTATGACGATAATAAAAGTGTTTGCACCTTTGCATTACACTTTTGTCATGTGTCAAACTCAAGCTAGTGGGGCTAGTCACTTTTAGTGACAATAAATTCACTTTCATTCTTGTCAGTCTTGGCATCGCTAATTGCGTCCATCTGTCATATCACAAACTAGTAACTTTTTCAGTTCATTTTATCAACAGATTTCTTTCAGTGCTCAACTGGTAAAGTTCTAAGATCTGACACTTATGAAACTAAACAGTTGCAACTGATAAAAACATTTTCATGTTTTTTTAGTCAATTTTAAACACATTGCAAAAAACTTTTTGCCCTGGAAATGCAATTTTTTCACCTTAATTCTTCCAAAAAAAATGTGTAATCCAATTTTGATTTTAAAAAATGTGAATTATGTGTATGTTACATCATTTTGATTAGTGGCGTAGCCAGCCATTTTTCATTGGAGGGGTTTCTGAGAACTATGGGGGGTTTCCATCAAGAAAGTGAATAAAAACAAACAGTCAATAGTGATCAGTGCCAATACTATAGCGGAAATGGTGATGTGAGGACCCTGTATGGGGGGGGGGAGGATTCTGACTCCCAAAACCCCCCGTGGCAACGCCACTGATTTTGATTGATTTCTTGTTGTAGAAACTGTTAAATAATATTAGGCCATCCATAGACCAATAAACCATACAAATTTTGTCTTTAACTTTAGTTTTCTTTCTTAAGTTTTTAAAACTTATGTTAACATCTTAGGTAAGGTAAATTGAGGTGTTAAGGCAAAAAAAATTAAGTATACAGTGGATGCAAAATAGTTATGTATGTGTGTGTGATTGGATTTTGTGACTGCGGATATAATCCATTAGCCTAACAAAATAGTTATGTGTAGTATGTTTCAGTCTATAAGCTTTTTGTAAAATTTCAATAGTAATATATATGCTCTTGATTGTTTTGGTCATTACTTGATGAAAATCAATATATATTAAAATGAGAAAAACCAAATATGGTAGATTTTCACACTTTTATTAAAAAAAATAGAAATTACAAATAATTGTTTCGAAGTACAACTTTTTATTTTTATTTTTTAAATAAAAGTTCAAATCTACCATGTTGTTTTTCTCATTTTAGTAATACTTAATATGCCATTCGAATGTTGGTGTATATTACCATTTTAACTGATTGTGTGTTAGCTGTTAATACATAAAAAATATGTTTTTATTTAAAAAATGCTTATACCATTCATTGTATTAGTTTCAAAAAAATTAAGCAATCCTTGTTATGTTCACTTTTTAAAAATAACATCTCTGAGGTCCATCTTTGTGACATTATTAAAGAAATTCATTGTGTACTAGAAAAAATTAAGTTCATTAGTTCATTCATCTTCATATAGATGATCTAATTTTAACTCTTTTCCTAAATTAACACTTTTCTTCTGTTTTGCCTTCTTAACCTTCTGCCCAACCACATATTCAGGCATAATAACCTTCGAACTCCTAAAACCAGCTTCCACTTTTTCTGGATCTTCTAAAACTGTAGGTCTAGTTTCTTCAAACTTATTTTGTTTCTTAAAAACTATTTTTTTAGATAAATCAACTTTGTCTTCTTCGAAACTGTTATCGACGAGTTTTCTTTCGTTCAGTTCTTGTAGAAATGACAATGCTGCTTTTGTATTACTTTTATCCGAGACGTCTTCAACGTCATCCAAAGTATATCTAGTCCATTTGTGAGGGTGCTTTTTAAAGTCTGGAATTCTGTTAATGTAATTTTTAGGCACCGGATTTTGGGGTTTCTTGAATATGCTCTCTTTTCCTCTCAACCGTTTTGTCATGGATCTCTGTGATCTTGGATTAGATATATTAGGACTGGTGTCTTCTTCATCGTCAACGTCCATTTGAACTTCAACCTCATTAAGCCTTGGCGTATTATGTCTGTCATTCTCCAGGGCATATAATTGATCAAATACACTTTTTTGTCTTAAATTAAAATCCGCACTTGCAGATTTTAATGTAAATTCGTCATTTTTCGACATATTTTGGTTATCAAAATTAAAATGACAAAAATAAAAATATATATTTTATTTGACAGATGACATATGACTTAATTAGAAGAAAATAAAGGGTGTTCCTGCGTTTTTTTATTCAACAAACTGAAAAATTATTAAAAAAAATCTCAAAATAATATTGAAAAACTTTCAAGTTAAAATATTTTGCAACGTTCTGCGCTGTTTAAATTTAATTTCTAACTAAAAACTACTTTTAATTTTTACGTTAGGTAAATCAGTTACACACAGTTGGCATTCATGGAAATGTTTAAAGTCAAATTTTGACAGTGACACTGACATGTTGATGTGTAATGTGAAGTTGAGATAGCTAGGCTAGAAATTAATAAAAGTAAACAATAATAAAATGGCTAGTACAGCGAGTATGGCTAGTACAGCTAGTATGACTAGTATGGCTACTATAACTCAGGGAGGAAGCATAACCATCGAAAAAACCAAATATGAATGTGCTCAAGTACCAAAACGGTGGCAAAGAGAAGATGTTTTACGTAAAACAGGATTAACAGTAGGAAAAGTAGATTTATACTACAGTAGAGGAGTTAGAAATGATGGCTCTCTGGTACCACCGATTCGACAAACTGCGAGTATTTTTAAACAACCAGTTACAGTTTATAAACTTCAAGAAAGCAAAGTAAAAAATGATTACAAGAATGGCAATCAAGAGAAACCTAAACAATTAATTTGGGAGAAAAGACTGGAAGGTTTAAGGGCTTGTGATATCGATGGGTTTGAATTTGAAGCTATGGAGCTTCCCAAAGGTTTGTATGTATACAGCAATGATTTAATCAAATGAATTTGTAGATGGTATTCACCATAAATGGTAAATTTAGTTGGAATGTTCATGTATATAATTAAATATCGCTAAATAAGTACTATGTTTTAAATGTTATGAATGTTCAGTAAAGTGTGACTATATTCTATCCTGGTGAACATATATATTGCTGGTCATTCTAATACCTCGTAATCCTCACTCTTCCAAAAATTTGAATTTTTACCTATACTCATTGTTACAGAAAACCTCGTAGCCCACAAAAGTTTTTAAACGTAAATAAATTAAACTTTTATATTGCCTATTGTATACTTACATTAGGCATGTTGTGATTTTTGGCATCTCCTATAAATTGTAATATTTGGGGTTATTAGGTATTAGAATGATACTGGTAATACCTATATGCACTGTTATTCATAAATAATTCAATCCACAAATATCTAAAATCAGATAACTCATCCACACTATCAAAAAAATATCCAGTCCATATCTTTTACAAAATTGATATCTGATAATTGTAGGCTACTGATTCTTTGTATAACATTTTGTGAAACCATTAATATCTTAGTGATATAATACCATGTAGATTGGATGCTTTATGCCTAACAGCAATTATGTTATTACAAAAAAAAATTTTGGTTTGAAAATGGTACTTTATATATGAAATGTTTTAATAAAAACAGAATATTTAAAGTTCCTTCTAGTACTAGTAGTATTAAAAAAAAACAGTACAGGATTTTATCAAGAAGCACAACTGGTACTTTCACAATTGTTTCAAGAAAGTACTTACTAATAAGACAAGGCTTATAATTTGTTAGCATTGAGGTTAGCACAGAAAACAGAAGCTCCATTTTAAAATATATAGAAGTATAGCTCGAAGTATAGTGTAAATAATTTAGGAAAAAATCTTCTATTTGACATTGGTATTATTAAGACAATAAAGATATTACAGTAGAGCATCGATAATCGGGACGTCAAAAATTCGGACCGTCAATAATCTGGATTTAATTCCAGTGAAAAATATGTGAATATATTATACATATATATTTATCATACAAATGCGTTGATGCGACAGGCTGACCGGGGTCACCTTAACCGCTACAAAATGTACAGTATTCTGTAAATACATATTGTACATTTCATATTATGTATGTATAATCTTTCATTAAAATACATTATAAGTTCATATTAATTAATGGTTTTATGTATCCTCTCAATTATTTAACCATAAAAGGGAAATATTAACGGTTTTAGAAGGTTTTCTTTTTGTTATGAACTCAAACAACCTTTTTCGGTTCTTTTCGAAAATTCGGATATTTTAATAATCCGGACAGGATCCGGTCATAATTAATCCGGATTATCGACACTCTACTGTACTATTATTATACTTTTCACACAGTAGTCTGTGAAACAAAAAATTATATCAACTTGAAAATTTCAGGAAAAATCAAGCTCTATAAGGGGACAAAGCCAATTGATTTTGAAAAAAAATCTGAATAAAAATGGGGGTATTAAAAGGGGTTGAAGTATTAAAAAAATTCTAGCTCAACAAAGAAAAATGATATCAACTTGAAATTGTTAGCAAAAATCAAGCTCTATAAGGGAATCAATAAATAAATAAATATAAATGGGGAGATAAGGGGGTTAAGATATTGAAAAAAGATCCTAACTCAGAAACACAAAATGATATTGAAGTGAAAGCTTCAGGAAAATCAAGCTTTATAAGGGGATGAACCCCATTGATTCTAAAAAAAATCATATTGAAAATTGGGGGTCAAGGGGTCTGTTAAGCCAAACAAATTTATTTATTTAATTTTTTTTTGTAGGTCTCAAACCAGTGGGGCCAAATGTAACTGAAGATACAATTATACAAAGTGTTGCTACTGCTTTGCATGTGTCTTCTCAACCAGTGACAGGTCAAACAAGTACAAAAACTCTCTTGGAAAAGAATCCTGGAGTTTTTTTAGATCCTAAACAACCACTTGTACATGCAGTCAATATTTCAGATGATGATATTAAAAGACAAGAAGAGAGGGTGGCCCTAGCAAGGAAAAAATTGCAGGATGCACTGAAAATGTAGACAGTATTTTTAAGTGATTTAACTATTGATGGCAGTAAGTTATGATTCTAGTCCATCAAATCAGAATTCGTATTTTTTTTAAATTATTGAATTTTTGTATGTTTTAAGATAAGTCATTGTAATATTAAGTATAAATAGTTGTATAAGTGAATAAATGTGTTCATATGATAGTAATATGGAATCTTTATAATTTTTTTTACAAGAAGTGGTGGAAAGTATTCTATCATCAATGATATCAAATGGATATTTAATTTGAAGAAAGTTACCTAATATGCACTCTAATTATCTGCTAACTTATTTGTTTAATACAGAAAACTTCCAACTCCAAAGATTTTTCAACCACATTTATTCAAATGAATTCTCACAGAGCCATAGCCATTGTTGGTAGCCTTCCTAAAATATTGTATTTATTAAAGCATAACTTCAAGTATGACAGGACTATTTGAAAAAATAATTAGAAACAAAATAGAGAAGGAACAAACAGAGAAGACTAAATATGTGCAGGCTAGGAGATCATGTGTACATCACATTTATAATTTTACAGTAAAAAAATTGCTATTTAATGATATACGTATAACACTTTTGTCTGTATGAGGTTTCTGCAGATACTTTACATAAATAACGCACAGCCCTTTTTTGGAGAACAAATACCTTAGGAATAAAGAATAAAAAACACGACCTCCAAAACCAAATACAGTATCTTAAATGTAACTCATTTATTGAAAAATACACGCCTTTTGCAGCTGAGAAACAGATGCGCTGCCAGAGACCTTAAAGCGAAGCATCCTGAAGATAATTTCATGCATAACTTATCTATATGATTACCAAATTTTAAATAAGAGTCAATATGGAGCCCCAAGAAATTATTTTCTTGCCTGCTACAATAACATTTCCTCTCAAATAACCATCCAATAAATTACATTTAAAAGTCATAATATTCGTTTTGGAAATATTGAAAGAGCAAAGGTTAGAATCGTACCCATTTTTAATTTTGACTATATCGGAATTAATAATTTCAAATAAAACAGTTGAATTTGTGGCATGCCATAAAATATTGGTGCTGCTCTTCTCTTTATCTTATATATCGATCAATTCATTGATATACAGGGTGGCTCACGCTCAACGGGACGGAGCTTTATGGGAAAACGACCAAAGATATAAAAAATTGGTTTGGGAGGAATACGTAGGTTACAGACGGCTACAATTTAAAATTTGTTAGATGTATACAGGATGTCCCACATAAGAGAAAATATACAAAGTTATATTATTTTTAATGAAACACCCTGTTTTTTATTTTAGAATTAAAAACTACATCAAAAATAATGTCAGTTAACTAAAGGTTCCCTATTATTATTAGTTTTCAATTTATTTGAATTTTTAAGGAAAAAAAGTCTCCCAGAAATTAATTGTTTACTCTTGTTTGAATAATTTTTAATGAACTAATTTTTTTTTTCTTATGTGGGACATCCTGTATACATCTAACAAATTTTAAATTGTAGCCGTCTGTAACCTACGTATTCCTCCCAAACGAATTTTTTATATCTTTGGTCGTTTTCCCATAAAGCTCCGTCCCGTTGAGCGTGAGCCACCCTGTATAAATGGCATCAGCATTTCCTATGCTGATGAACTGTGTTCTTGTTTGAAGAAACCACATGGCATGATGTTAAGAAAAAAGTAATAGATAAGGTAAAAAAAGTTATACAGTGATAGGACTACAGTAAACTGACATTAAAAAATGTTTCTAAGACCGGGCGCTGTTCAAAAAATTTCCAGAGAGGGGGGCAAGTCTTATAGGCAGGGTCAAAACGCCGCAGGGTATAGTCGAAAGCCATGGCGAAAAATCCAAAATCACAAATCCAGGGAAAGACAGACGCCCCCGTTTTGCCCTTGTATGGCGGCGCCCATGGCTGTAATGACAATGCTTCATAGCTATTAAATGTAGTTCAGAATTATATTCTAAAAATAATATTTCATAACGGTAAACTTGTCTTTACAGATGCGATGAATCAATACTGAATATTAAATCTCTATATTTTCAATCGAATTAAGTGTTTTGCTTCAAGCTAAAAAGCAAACGTTTGGTACATCACAATTATCAAATGAGAAAAATAATAGTGCAGTTATTGCACAATTTCACAAATATGCTAACTAAAGATTTGCATCGGTAACAGGAACAAAAATGTTTATCTTAACCGTTGAGATAAAAAAAAAATATATAAAATTAAAACATTTATAATCGAGAACTATTTTTAGACCAATTTGAAAGTTCGGAAACAAATTTAAAAAAATCCCTACGAATTATTAAGACCATCCCCGAACCCTAAAAGTGAAAACAAATACTTGGAGATTTGACAAAAAGCCTGTCATTGGGATTGGATCCCAGACATCTTTGTTCTCTAGACAGTCTAGACAAATGCCCTTTCCGCTATACCATGACGACATTGACTGTCGATATTCCTAGACAGAAATTTGATGTGCTAGTTTGGACAAGACGCCGTTTCAGTCTTTCTCAATTCTTCAAATACCTCTATATAGCATCGGTTTATATAAGCATTAGTATGCATCAATGCATTTCTCATATATACCAATGCTGTATAGAGGTATTTGAAGATTTGATAGTGAGAAAATCGGTTGGTATTCGAAAAACTGAAATGCAATTTTGGAAATATGAAAATATATAATCCACAATCCCACCTTAGCAATTATGAAAAATACACTCGCATATCTCTAAAGTGAAAACAAAAGAAAAATTGACAAAGCTGAGAAATAAAGAAAAAAAATAAATATTAATCGACCAGGGATCGAACCTGGTACCTTCCGACTAAACAGTTGAAGGGTACAAGGGAAAAAAGATGAATGTTCAAAAATTCAAATTTTAAGCTAATGGCTGGAATATTATGCTAAAATGCTGTAAATGCTCTAAATCGCGCATTGTTTGGTTTTCCTCTCAATGCTTTTTCCCATTTTATTACGCGCTATTTTACTATTTCAGTAGTACATGTGCCGTTTAATCGACCACCTGCTGTAAATTGTTTTTTCTCTCGTGCCACGTGCAATCGAAATATTTTACAATGAGTGACAAAGACATTGAAGTTGATAGTGCAGTTTTTCCTCTAAAGTCTAAGAAACGGAACTTTCATGGACGTCTGAGGAACGTTGCTAAGTTATTAAAACTACGAAGCCATGAAACAGGCCCAAGTTGTAATTGTACTAGATTTAAGTGTTTTGAAAATGTCACCGAAGGAGAGAGGTTGCAAAATATTAAACAGTTTAATGAACTTAAAGATCATGGTAAACAAAATTTGTATGTAGGTGGCTTAATTTCACATGCCCCCGTTAAACGACACCGAAGTAGAAAGAATAATGATGAAGATGTTGAATATCACTCATATTCGTACACATACAAAATTCGTGTTCAACGAGATAATACAGCTATACAAGTGCCAATATATTATAAAGCTATGCTTTCTATGCATGGAATATCTGCGAAACGGTTTCAGAATATCCAGCAACAGTTAACCACTTTTGGACATGTTAAACACGATATGGGCGAGGTCAACAGTCCAATCGAAAAAAATCCTCTCCCAGATGAAATATCCACTGCCGTTTTTGACCATATTGCTTCGTTTAAAGGCCAAAAATCACATTACAGTCTCCATGACTACCAACGTGTATATTTACGGGAAGATCTTAACGTGAAAAAAATGTTCAACATGTTTTTACAACAAAATCCTGAGAAAAAGGTTTCCTACGAGACTTGCAGAACTATATTTGTAACTAGATTCAACATAAGTTTTGGCTAAACACGAACGAATACCTACAGTGCCTGTGATGAGCACAAGGCGAAGAAAATGAGCATCGAAAACGATCCTTCACAAAAAACGCTTTTATCTCGTTTGGAAACAGAACATAAACTGCATCTTCTAAAAGCTGAAACGTTTTACAAAAGAAAGAGAGCAGCCCGTTTAAATTCTCAAAAAGTACAGAAAAAGAGGCAATAGCAATGGATTTTCAAAAAAATCTGCCAGTGCCCAATATCAGCACTAATGTATATTATAAACGCCAACTTTTTTTTATTCCTTTAATATCCATGTGCTGTCTAACTGCTTCATATTTTTATACTTACACGAAAACTGCTAGAAAGAAGAGCTCAGATGAAGTAGCATCTATGCTATTTTATTTTCAATTTCTTGGATGAGCGTGTCCAAGAGTTAGAAATTTTCTATGATTCGTGTAGCGGCCAAAATAAGAATTATACCATATTTCGTTTACTACATTTCGTTGTCCACAAGACAAAACGCTTAAGGAAAATCAAGATGACGTTTCCAGTTCGGGGACACAGCTATCTAGAATGCGACCGCAACATGGGTCTAATAAACCAAAAGGCAGCAGTAGAACTTCCAGGTGGATGGAATGAGCAAATTCTGAGTAGAAGTAAACCTGGTTCTTTTTGTGTAATTGACTGTGCAGATCAAAATATTTTTCGTTCATAGACGAATCACTTTGCAAATTCTATAAAAAGTATCCATTTGAAAGCAGACCAATCAAGGAACTTACAGTACATACTGGTATGCCGAGAATGATAGAATATCGTGAATCATATAACGGAGCTTGCACGACTTCTGTAGTGATACCGCCTAGAAGAAAGCCAAAAAATATTGATTTGTTACCTCCTGGCCAATTTGAAGTACCTTCTTCAAAATACAACGAGAAACTCCCTATATCTTTGAAAACGTTTTAAGATCTACAAGAACTTAAAAGATTTTGTGAGCCCAATGCATGTAAGTACTTTGAAAACTTACCTTATAACCACACTACCAAAGATGAAGACGCTTAATTTATGTTAAAGGTTATAATTTACAAGTTAACTTTTTGACGTTCGCTGTATGCTTTTTTATTATATTATAACATTACCTAATATTTTAATATGTTCTACCGAAATTTACCATTATGTGCCTTAGTTTTAATAAAAAGGTACTTATTTAGATTATTTGTTTATTAAGAGCTTGCCCTAAGTTTTTACTAATCTTAAGAATTTTTTGATTTTTTTGTACTACATCTAAAACGCCCTGTATATTTTTTGTATGAGAATTTGTTTACTATTTTCGTTGGTACTACTTTTATATAACCAAAATTAGAGTTGTATGCTCTTTCGTTTCAATAAATAATGCAATTACTAGCACATAGTTTATGATAAATTACTCCATTTCCCCACTCGAACCTATATCGTATAACTCCAAATATTTTTTTCCAGCTACAAAAATAATCCTGTGCACTCAATAATTGGTATCAAAGTGATCATACCAGGTATTGAGAAAAAATATTTGAGCCAGATATATTTTCAGACTAGAGCTATCGGTGCCTCTGGGTCATCGAAGCACATCGTGCTCTACAATTTTACATCACTAATTATGGTAAAGACTTTGCGTTGCTCTTTGTGGCATGAATTCATTGCCATAACGAATGTGAAATAGTATATTGTTTCACGAGGCGAAGCCGATGTTGGTAATGTTTGCGAGCTTCAAAAAATTATTTTCGACGAGTAAAACACTATACTTTTTCTACGAACTTTATTATGTCATGTAGGTACCTACTAAAATGAAAAAAAAAAAAACAAACGTTAGCAAATGCTTTATTTTGTGTTAGGAATAACAAAAAATTAACCAACAATTAAATATTTCAGAAATATTATTTATTATTTAAATATTGATTTATTGTTATATTTGAACAATTGTTCAAAATTATGGGGGTATCACACTCAAGCTTTTTATTTATTGAGGTAGATGCCGACATATTTGTTCTACTGTTAAATGTCATTTCAGATGATGATGCGCCATAATCGGATGAACTAGTAGTTTCCTTATTTTGTACAGATTGTAAAATTTTGGTTTGTATTTGGTTTTTACTGTTCGTGGATTCATCAACATATCCTTCCGCAACACTACTAGATTTCCAACCACCGTGCTCTTTTAACAGAAGCAAGTCACCTCCTGCATCCACTAATAGCGTTGCGGATGTTCTGCGGAAACAGTGCCCAGTGTAATCTTGAGGATTCGGAAGCGTTAAAAACTGAGCAATTTCGTTAGGAAATTTACTGATTTTATAAATTCCAACAACCTGTCTGCTACACTTTCCATTCTGTTAATAAAGAATCTTGAATTAATTTGATCCATGTTTGCGGGGCGTAGGCTCATATATTTTTTAGAAATATAATAAAAGGGTCCAGAAATATGAAAAGAACGCGGAACTTTTGTTTTTGTATTACGGATTTTAACTAACAGAATACTTCCATTATCCTTTACATCGCTTATTGTTAAATCTTTTAGTTCGTGGCAACGACAAGCGCCAGATAATCCAAAAACTAATGCTACCTACAAATATTAGTAGTTATGTATTAACTATTTGTTAAAATAAAAATAATAATTCCGTTACCTTTGTTATTAAATATTTATAGTCAGGTGCATTCTTTAGGAAAGTCTTCAGGCGAAAAATTTTTGGATTTTTGGCTTTTAAAACCATCAGATTTTCTTTTCAAAAGCGAACGTAACTTTGGATATTTACTAATAATCATCGAATAACATCGAATAAATGGACCATAACGTCGACGGTTTAAAATTTGAACATATTTCTCCAAAGTACAGTTTCCGAACATGATTTCACTTTATTTTTTTCTCTCCAGTCCAAAAATTTGATATAATTTTCTTCATCTCTTTTTTGATTTGGCCGGTAATAAATCTGAAGAGGTTTCTTCAGCTTTAAAAATAATTTCTGGGGGAGTACAATCGCTTTCTGACTCAGACATCATGAAAATGTGTTAAATTTAGGACGAACTGAAACTGACAGTTCTCAAAAGTGATAAAACTTCAAATAAACAAATGAAAACCAGGAAACTAGATGTAGATTGGTTTAATTTGCACTATTTTTATACATTTTTATTTTATCTTTAATTCATTAAAGTTTAGGTAAAAACGCATATAGAATTTAATGAGCATCTTTTTATTTCATTATTAATAAATAAGCTGCCAAAATATTATACGAGGCGACTGATATATGAAAATATGTAACAACTTACTTTCGTCACTAGAGACGAAAGTAAACGTTATGGGATTTTTCTCACTAGTGACGGAAATCAAGTTTTCGCTGAAAGTATCATGTGGCGAAAGATGTCTTTTCCTACGACCACTTAGGAAAGTGACACATATCACACTATATAGTCCTATGGAAAGTGTCCTATATCACACGCGTATGACTAAGAATTTACTTTCCACCCAAGTGAGAATATGTTACTTTCCGCAGTAGTTGTCAAAAAATGTCAAACGCCTAATTTCTATTTTGATCTATGTAATGTCCATATTAATACTAAAATCGATATGATTGTTAAATTATTGAAATTGTTTTAAATTAGATCCTAGATATTTATCTTTAACAATTATTATTAAAATAATTTTAAAATAACTAAGATTATGTTTGCTCTTTAATTTGGGTAAATACATAACCGATTAGATCATTCAATTGACGTAAGGCCCATTAGCTCAGTTGGTTTAGACGTCGAACTTATCAACTTTGCCATTTTTTGACCGCGTTCAAGCTATGGTTCAAATCCTGGCGGAGCCGAATTTTTTTTTTGTTTTTTTTTTATTTTTTATTAGTTTTTTTTGTTTAGAAAATATGAAAATTGAATAAATACGATTATTGTTGATTATTTTTTTAAATACATTTTAATTAATATAGTAATAATAACCTTGGTTTTACATTTTTTTGATATTATTTTGTAAGCTAATTTCTATTTTGATCTATGTAATATCCATATTAATACTAAAATCGATATGATTGTTAAATTATTGAAATTGTTGTAAATTAGATCCTAGATATTTATCTTTAACAATTATTAAAATAATTTTAAAATAATGTTTGCTCTTTATTTTGGTTAAATACATAACCGATTAGATCATTCAATTGACACAAGGGCTGTTAGCTCAGCTGGTTAGGACGTCGAACTTATCAATTTTGCCATTTTTCGACCGCGTTCAATCTATGGTTCAAATCCTGTCGGGGCAGAATTTTTTTTTGTTTTTTTTTATTTTTTTTTATTTTTTTTTTATTTTTTTTTGTTTAGAAAATTGAATAAATACGATTATTGTTGATTATTTTTTTAAATACATTTTAATTATTATAGTAATAATAACCTTGGTTTTACATTTTTTTGATGACATTATTTTGTGGTCGTAGGAAAAATATTGTACATCACTTGTGTGAAAAGTGATTTTCCACACTCGTAATGTAATATACTATTTTGTAAGAGTTCGTAGAAAAATAATTATTCGTTTGTTTTTTAATGACTTTTTATTTTTTCAAACGTTAACATTTACATTCAAATACAACGAACTTAACTTCTAATCAACACATTTCTTATTTTTACGTATTGCCCACAATAATTTTGTTGAGTGCAGAATGTCCAAGAGTAGGCGATTTTTATCGGATCTACACTCTTCTTTACTACGGATTATACCATATTTGTTCAAAGGATGACTTACTTATTAATAAAAATATTGGTTCTAGTGTTGGATCTTTTCAGGAATATAAATTTTTTCATATTACCGACAGAGATGTTTGGACAAGTAGTAGACCTTGAAAGAACTTGATACAAAGGAACATTAAGGTGTAAGGTAGAGACAAGCCAGTAAGGACCTTTTTTGAATTTTGTTGGATTCAGATAAAAAAAGATTCTTATTTATTGTTTTCGTCTGTTCTGTAACAACTTTTTATTTAGTCCATATTTAATATTTTATTATTTAATAGAACATATTTATTTTATTTGTAGAGCTATGTATGAAAACGTTAAATGTTACTTTTTAAAACTGTACAGTATCATAAATTAAAGTTGTCGAGACTATTTTATTTATAAAAACGTTGTCCGATTTCTATTTTTTTTGTTAGAAAGAGGGTACCTCAGGGATGGTCTTATATAAATTTGATCAAGATCTAATGATAGGATCATTGAGGAAATAATTACTCTCATTTTTTATGTATTTTCAGTGATAATTATTTACTACGTTGTCCGATTTATATGATTATTTTTTGTTAGAAAGGGGATAACTCAGGGGCAGTTCCGTATACAATTGGTCAGGATCTGATGATCTATGAGAAAAACAAAAATCTCAATTTTTAAGGCATCTGCAGGATTTTGAAAATTACTTTTATAACTTGTTAATTGTCTAGAAATCATTAAAATAAACAATTTCAAAAAAATAAAAAAAACTAAATAATTCACGAGGATTTAGGACTCTAATGCAAAAATAATTTGGCATCACACACAACTCATGATATTAGGGTAAAGAAACACTTTTTTTTATAAATGTTGAAGGTTTATTGTAACAATGATATAGATGACAAAATGAACAAATATTCGATTGAAAACATATAAAAAATTTATATAAATCAAATTAATTAAATACAGTTTACACATAAAGTGTTTTTCTCTTCAAACAAGGCGTTCATCGTACTGTTTACAAAAAATCCTTCTTAATTTGCAAGAAACACACTCCATTGGCCTGTTTCTGTCCACCAAACAAAACCATAAGCAAACTGGGGCCTGTACTATGTTCGTACATCTCCTTAACCCATTTATCTAAATTCTTAAATATCTTACAATTAGTACCCTCCAATTGATTATCGGCTACCCGCACATGAGCGATATTCAAGGAATAACTCTTCAATGAATCACAGTACAACCGAACCACTTCTTTGTTTGATTTCTTCGAACTACAACTAATATTTTCCACTTCTTTTTGTTCACCTTTGTCCACATAAAACTTGTACTTAAGGCCTATTTCATCAACACCTAAAAATAACATTTTAAATTACTCCTGCAAATATTATTTTAACAAATAGTTATACTGAAATCTCGATAGTTTGCAAACTCTTTAAAATCATGTTGCCATAATGTAGTTTGTTGACAGTGATATGTTCAGTGCGATGTCAAAAATAGGTTGGTGTAAAACGAAAATATTTCTACTATTTTAATCGAGGGGTGAACCACTTCTGAAGTACTGGTACGTTTTCGCTCGAAAATCACTACAAATTTGTCGAAATTTCCGAAATCATCACTGAAATCAATTTGTCGTACAGAATTATAAAACGCTGCAGCTTGTGGGTAAAAGACAAGGGAAAAGTAAAAAAAAAGTAATTTGAATAAACCACATTTAAGTATTATTTGGATGACATTTGACTTAATGAAGGTTATACCATTCATAACGTATGGAAAGATTTATTGTCATCAAATCGACGAATGGCTTTTCTGGAAGGACCTTATACTGGACTAAAGTCATCTTCCGGTAATAATTATAGCACATATTTGTAATAAATCGGGTTTCGTGGAAGGCAGGGCTCAGCTTTTTCTATTCGCAGAAAACTGGTGACTATCATGAAGATTTGAATTCTAATTGTTTAAATCTATACTTTTACTGTTAGAACCCGGGTCAGTATTGTTATGAATAATGTATCATACCATAGCCATCTTTTTCTACCACTACTTGGCAAACAGTGGAAATACAGAGTTGACCTCATTTAAAATATATATTATGAAGATGCATAAACAAGAAAATTTTAAATGTGTCGTGGACAAGCTAAATCATATAGAATTGGTTTTATCCTAAATAAAATAGATCACATTTAAAATTTAAGACCTTTACATTAGTTTGAGGTAAAAATTATTTTAAGTAAAGCAGTGAGTGTTGTTACAGTGGAAGTATGTTATAGAACATGTAATGAAAGAAGACAACTCATTTTAGGAGCTGAATTCTGAGAAAGAAAGATTTCTATAACCTCTTATTACTCTTAGTAACAACGACAGTGAGTCTGATGATGAAGTTGATAATTTTCTTCAATTATATTTATTTTAGTTTTAGCTAATAAACAACATTTTCTCAATGGAACAATTTTTTATTTATTTGCGTTTCATAATGTTTTAGTTTTGTTTAATATTATACATGCATTAGGACATTTTCTTGCGAATTTGTTTTTATTTTTGTTTTCGAAATACCTTTTTATTGAAAAGTATTTTATTTAACATAATTCCCTTCAAAAATTATAAAATACCTCTTCTGAGGTAACGCGCCGGAAGGGGAAAACCCAGACAGGACCACAAAGTTAAGATAACTACCGAAAGAAAGATCCTGGTCAAAAAGACACTGATGTGATGGGAGAGCTGGACAAAACAATTTTATCCGCCTCCTGCAGCAAAACCAAGCCATCCACATTCAGGTCTTGGATGTACTCTGGCGAAATCATCAGAGTACGTGCGACGATGACCTGACGTTGGAGTGGCTAAAAACCAAGGTACCAACTTTAAAAACATGGGAACGAGCAACACTCGCTGTTGTATGGATGGACAAGCTCCCCAAGCCAACCAAAACCTCTCTCTGGATCCATGGAAAGCGCAAGCTAACCTTGACGAGGAGGTTATGCTCTGGCGACTTGAGGGGCAAAACCCCACCTTGCATGTGGCGAAAAGGTGCTCATTCCACCATGAAACAAAAAAAGACCCTTCAGTTGGGGCAGTAACGATAAAAACACTTTATGATTATATAATTACCAAAAATTTTAAATAAAGGTACTGCACCAATATTTTTAAACTCTTGCAGTCAAACACTAATAGACATCACTTTTTCCACAACTGGTATCTATAAACCAAATCTAAACTGGCAAGTGTCTGATAACATTTCGATGTCAGCCCACCGCTGGTAAACATTCAAAATGAATTTGATGTTGCCGACAGGGCAACCTATGCCCACCTTCTCCAAGAGACTGAGAGAGGTGGAGGCCGAAACACCAAACAATAACAATGCTTTGAAAAAGTGCTCTAACACTATCCAAAGCACAATAAACAATGCCAATAAGAAATTCTGTCCCCTGAGGCTGGTCCAAAACGATCAGAAGACTACCTCATGGAGGTGTCACGAGTTGGATCACCTCAGGAAGATGGCTAGGAAATTCTTTAATAAGGCAAGAACCACAAAACTCAAAGAGGACTGGGATACTTATAAATCTCACCTGAGAATACAAAAAATCGTTAGACAAAAACAGAGAGATGCATGTAGATCCTACTGCGAAGAAATCGAAGATTTTCTCCAGGCAGCAAGGCATCAAAAAGCTCTCTCAAAAGATCCACACCGCTACATTGATGCGCTAATCAAAGAGGATGGCATGAAAACTGACAACCTCGAAGATTGCATCAAACTTCTGCTGTCAACACACTTCCCTGACTCGGTCATCACGGATGTGGCCGACTGGGCAGAGAAAGAATACAACCCATCTGTCTATTATTGGCAAACAGCCAAACACATTGTAGACGATGACAAAATTAGATGGGCAATATCCATTTAAATCACCAGGATCTGACAGTATCTATCTATCTTCAGTGGGGTCTGGAAGAACTCACAGCGCACCTGGTTTGTATAATCTCGTTGGATTTGAGGTATATCCCCATAAAATGGAGAGAGGTAAAAGTGGTATTCATACCCAAACCTGGAAGGATGGATTACACGCCCAAAAACATACCAACCAATTAGTCTGACATCATTTGCAGTGATTACGTCAACACCACCACACCCAAATCAAAATGCATACATCCCAGGCAATCTACTGATTCAGCCCTTCACCTACTTGTTGGCTGGATAAAAAGATCTCTGGACAATAAGGAGTCCGCCTTGGGTATTTTCATAGACATCAAATCAAATTTATTCATTAAAATAATTTACATTTTTTTAACAATTTTTTAAGAACCGCCTAAACAAAGTTTGTGTGCGGAATCTTTATATCAGTTTTTTTTTACGTTTTATAAATGCTGTTTAAATTACATCTAAGTATATACTATAGAAACAAAAACAAAGAATTTAGAATTTTAAAATACAACAAAAAAAAAAGAAAAAAAAAAGAGAAATATGGAAATACAAAAATCAAAACAATTATAAAAATAGAAATTAGCAGAAATTATAAAAATAGCAAAAATAATAAATAGAAATAGAATAGACATAGAAGGTGATTTTGATAAAACCACCTTCCCCAAGATAATACACTCACTAAGCAACAGGAATGTTCCACAAACGGTTAGTGGGTGGATACATAGAAGGTGCTTTTGATAAAACCACCTTCCCCAAGATAATACACCCACTAAGCAACAGGAATGTTCCACAAATGGTTAGTGGGTGGATACATAACATGCTCTCAAAGTGAGCAGTAAACATAAGTGTAGAAGATGTGAATATAAAAGGCTTAGTTGCAAGGGGATGTCCATAGGGAGGGATACCACCTCTACTGTGGAACATGGTCCTTGACATCCTCACCAGCCGCCTCAATAATGACAGTCACTCCACAATAGCGTATGCAGATGACCTGGTAATTCTGCAAACAGGGAGAACATACTCTGCGAAAGAATGCAAGTAAAATTATAGAATAGTGGTGCAAAGACCATCTATATCAATCCCAAGAAGACAGAAATGGTCTTTTTCACAAGGAAAAGGATGAAACTGAATTTAAAACCTCCAAACTCCTAAACAAAAAACTGATCTTTGCAACAGAGGTGAAGTGCCTAGGTCTCACCTTTAACAGCAAGATAACATGGAACTAACATTAACAAAACAGAATCGAAAGAGCATACATTGCTTATGAATAATGCCGCCGAACCATGAGACGCACCTGGGGTTTCTCCCCTAGAGTCGTCGCATGGACTTACACGGCCATCATAAGATCTAAGCTAACACACGGTGCAGTTGTCTGGGTACCAAAAACCCAAAAATTGACAGCTATCCGCAAATTAGAACAAATTCAAAGACAAGCATGTCTTAACATAACAGGAGTCATGAAAACCACACCAACCAGAGCGATGGAAGTCATTCTTAGTCTCACTCCCCTTGATATTTACATCAAGGAGGTTGCTCTGACGACAATGACACGCCTCCCCACGATTGGAATAGAACCTGATGTAAGATCTGGTGAGACAAGACGTCGCTTTTGATAGGAGGCGCTCGATAAGCTCCCATTGCTTCAAGCGAACATGGACTCCATCTCACCGAGATATATCTTTCATAAGCCATACAAAGTTATAAGAGAACAAATTGAAGAGCCGGAAGTGGCAGGTAAAATTCATATCTACACAGACGGTGCTAAAACAAAACAAGGCTTAGGATATGGAATATATTATAGATCCTTAAAACTAAACATAAAATGGGCTGTGAGCAATAGAGCCCAGTGCAGTTCAAACAGAGCGCACGGGGATTCTCTTAGCAGCAAAAGAAATCACCAGAAACAATATCACTGGAAGGAACATGCTCATCTATACACAGATAGCAGACAAGCACTACTCACCTTGAACAGACCACGAATTTACTCAGGAAGCATCTCCATATCATGAAGCTGTCAGAATCTGTACTCTGCAGGGAGCGCAAACAAGAAGATGCGACCATCTAGCATATCCTCTATGATTGCCCGATGCTCTCATTTATTAAAAGATTTGTGTTCGGCGAGTATCAGCTAACACCAACCGATATAAGAGAAGCACCTCTTGCCGACGTTGTGAACTACATTATATCTGTAGGCTGGCTCATTTTAGGAGGATGCACAATGGGCCTAGTGAGGCCTAAGTACCGTGAGGTAACCCACCTTCCACGCGTTACAGATACAGACCTCTGAAGTGGTATTCAAAATTGTCAAAATAAATTTTAAAAATAAAATATTAATCCAAAAAATCCCAAAATATTATATATTACTGAATACTACTGAACAATTGTATTGTTTCCTTTCCCTGTTCGACCGCGAAGTTCCACACATTCATTAACGATGTCAGTTTGCAAACTATGGGGATTTAAGTATAGCAATCAATTAAAATACGAGCTATGCAATAGTTTCTATACGTTTTATATTTAAAGGTGTTTTTAGGTAGTCAGTTCAGTTTTAATTGTTAGTGTAAAAATAAAGAGATAAAATGAAAGAGAAGTGTGGCTTGATGGGCTTGCCTAAACTTAAAGTGATTTGTCAACAAACTTCTTCATTCTTCTTAGTTGTCTTTAGACTTTTGCCGATGGTCACTGTGGTCAGTCCTGATAATCAAAAAAAAATTTTGCATTCGTAGGCGTTCATTTGATTAGTCGCAAAAATGTAATTGCATAGTACAGAAAAATGCAGTGTTGCCATTTTGTGTGAAAAGATTATCAAAATGAAGAAAAAAGAAAGTTTTGTTAATTTTTTGACAACACTGATGTAAAAACTCAACTTTCACAGTCAGGCATACCAGTCAAGACGCTGACGGTCCGCGTCACATCCTATGTTCTCTCTAATTTTTTCGCCGACTGTACGGTACAGAAGTATATGGGAACCAAAATGTTCAAAACGTGTGTAAAGGTGTACCTGCGTTTGAAGTCAGTTTTTTTTTATTAAATACTCTTGCAAATTACATTTTAAATCATATTAATAACACACAAGAGAGGATTTTTACATTATTGTTCATATCTTTGTTTATATTCTTTCTTTATTCGGGGCACGATGTACTTTATTTGAACGACATTTTACGATAAACATTAAAATTAGGTTTTGTTTCTAAATGTTAATCAGAATCTGTTTGGTAGAATATTATAAAAATTAATGTTTTATAAGTAATGAAAACTTTTATTATATATTACGATATTAAATGTTAAGAACACTGTAACAACGCAACTTAAAGGGAACATGTCATATTTACTGGATGGTTATTTTCAAAACTACTGGATCTCAAAAAAAAAGTATATATTAATTTGAAACGATGTCCCGTCTATGAAGACTATTGTCAACCCTACATTTAAAACATTTATATTTTGGAAACAGGTGGACTTGTAGAAATTCAACATACATATCCATAGTTTGACCAATGTGAATTTAGGGAAAAGTTTCTTTAAACTTAAAATTTAGATAATAAATGGATTTTATTTTTATATGTCTACCAGTTTGCTCATTAACTCCATTTTTTTCCAATATTTGCTCTTCATCTCTAATAGGGAAACAAAAGTCAGTGTGCTGGGGAACCAAATGTACCTTATTTTCAAATTGAACAGACAACTTACCTGAAACTGAACTTATCTAAAAACACCTTAATTGAATTCAAAGGGCCACTTTTCCCAAACGTTTAAAACAACATGTCTATGCAAACCTACCTATAACGCTAGCCTTTTTATCAACTTTGACACACTGCCTTAACATACTAGTAGCAAATTGTGAAGTTCCCATCTCTGGATATGTCCTTAAATCATTCTTTACACCACCCATGACGGCATCTCCGTAATACAAATGTTTCCTTAGCCTAAGTTGGAGTAGTTTCATGCATGCTAAACTGTCTTCAGTAGAACAATGACCGTGATGGCTAACTTGAATTTTTTCTTTCAAGAATTCCCTGGCTAGAGTTTGCAGCTTCGATTTCCTAGATCTGTCACCAGTTATGTTGTATATTACACTGAAATTGTAAGAATTCATTTCTTAAAAATAAGTACAAACTATAATACATATTTGTGGATTAAGAGCGCAAAGCGAAATGACACTTTGTGCTCGAATTACACACATGATTTTATCTATAATCACAATTAAAAATTTTGTAGGAGAGCCAGTGATACTTTTTGATATGGTACTTCTGGTCGATAATTGGCGAAGAAAAATTATACAAAAAAGTGGGTCGTGCTTACACAGATTGCGATTATCTCGCCTAAACAGAAACGAATTCAAACATTTTTAAAAAGGTATTTTATATTTTAATATTTGAAAAACCAAAAAAATGTTTACCTTTTAGTAATTTAGGAAGTACAGCCTTCAATAATGTGTATACCACGTGTTTAAATTGATGTAATCAGTTAGCTAAAACTATGCAATATAGAAGTAAGGAGAAATATTTCTTTTTACAAAAAGTGTCCCCCAAAATGTATAAAATTAAGATGACGTTTCTGTACCAGAGGGAAGCCGAAAGTTGTGACAGTCGATAATTTATTCAGATCACACAATCACACCAATGATGTCTATAGTTATATAGGTACCTCACCCATATGTAAACAAGAGAGCATATATGTATGCTTGAAGGGTATAGCCTAAAAACTGCATAATGTGACTGAGCTTATACCCGAAGAGAAATTTTGATAATAGAGGCAGAAAATTTAGAAAAATCACTCTCACTGTCTTCATTAGGTATATTAATATTTTCCAGACTTTTAAAAGTATTGGAATGATTGACGCAACATATTTTTTAAAAAATATATAAAAATATTTCAAAAAAAACGGACATTTTTAGATTCGAAGTAATTTAAAAAGTAAAAAGCACTAAACTACGAACTATTATTAAAGATTAAAAGACTACAGTTAAGTTCGACAAAAATATACTAATAAAAGTTTAGTAATAGAGATTAAAGATGGCAATACAAATATTTTCATGGATTTTAAACTGTTGGAATGGCTAGCAAAATATTCCATGTTCTGCAAGGTAAAAATGAACGAAAAAATTGTAATTTTGCCTTGCGCAAATAACACACCTAAAAGTGTCACTGGCTACCCAACCATATATTATGTGGTTCGGTTAGATTCTTTTAAAATCAAGGGTAAACATGGAGATATGACACATTTTACTGTGTATACGCTATACAGAGCTGGGCAGTAGTTAACTACCGAATATTAACTACTTTGGGTAGTTCCAATTACTTTATGTACTCTAACTACTTTTAAAAGTATTTTAACCAATTTAATGGCAGGTATTATATAAATAGAAATTAAAAATTTTAACTTTTTTTAAAAACTTAAAAATAATATTTCTACTAAACTGTGATAACGGAAAAGACATTACAACTAAGAGACCAAATTGTTTACATTTTTATGTGGCAAATCATTATTCTCACCAGATTCTCATTTACTGCGTCTTTGCCGGTTTTATCAGTCTGTAAAAATTATTTGGAGAAATTACTTTCGAAAAATATAATTTGATGTATCCTATAACTATAATTTTATATTATATAAATAAAAATATGTTTTTAATCAAATTATTCTTTAAAGTTTTAATATAAGCTAAATTTTTTATTAAAAATCAATATTATTCTAAACATAAAATTCGGGTTGCAAAGAACTCCGTAAATACGGCAACGCTGAATATCTTATTTTACGAATTTACAACTAGTACCTATTTTTATGAATGAAATGTAGTTACCATAACCAGCCGCAACGTTGCCAATCGGGTCTAACAGCTATTTTGGGTTTCTGACAGTTTCTGTGTGACTCATTTATAAAATACTATTTTTGTGAACTTTTGTGAGAAATATAAAGAATTATGGTACATGCATGTGTAGTATTCAATAAGGTAGATCATTTAAATCAAAATTTATCCTTTCATCGGTAAGTATTTTTAGGTTAAGATATGTTGTTTTCATTTGAACCAGTGGAGTAGGGCACCCGTCTTAAAACTGTTTTGATTATACAAGTTCTTGTACAAGATTTGATACAATTTCTTATAGAATTTAAATTGTATAGGATCACACAGTAAATTGTTAGAAAAATGCTTATCCAATCTAATTTTTCAGACAATTCATTGCAGGTTTGATAATATACAATTTAAATTGTACAAGAAATTGTATCAAAAACTTGTGTAGTCTAAAACAGTCTTAAACCAGTTTTTAAAGTGATATTCCTTTTATAAATTTGTAAATTATTCTTATACTAATAGATAATTATTGAATAGTGGCAAAGAAAATCAGCCACTTCGTAAAAACCCAGAGTTGTGTTCAGAACACTTTTTTCCTGAAGATGTTTTGGTACATGCAAATGGTGCTAAATATATCAGAAAAGATGCAAACCCCAGACGGTGTGAGGGCTTTCTATTTTTGGATGACTTATCCAACACGTAAAATACACAATATTAATTTTTTGTTTGCCTCTAAACATTATTTATTACCTATATGTATGTATATTCTAATGTATGGGTTTTTAGTTCTGATTCAACTGTTTTCGGAACACCACCTGCTGCAAACAAAACATTGCAGTAAGTAATAACACTAATTACTAATCAAACAAAAATTAAATGAAAGTTTAGTTAATAAAATTAAAGTATTTAATATATTTAAAACGTTATTTTAAAAATTTTTTAGTTTCTTTACGATATTTTTTGCCATACCATGTTTTTTTATAATTATTAATTAAAAAATTATATATTTTTAGGACAGTGTTTTACTTAGATACCCCTACCTACTTAATGTTAATTTAAAATTTTAAATAATTTTGGTTAACATCATACCAGGCAAATATATAGTAAATGCCTATAAACTATAAACCAATAAATATTGAAAATCGGAAGGAATTCTCTTGTATTTGAATTTACTTGTACTTGAATTTACCTATATGAAAAAATCTTCATAATTATATTACTAAAAAAATATACCTACTTATTTACGTATTTTTTTTACCATACTACTCTGACAATACTGGTAAGTTTAAAACTCTACGCCACTAGCGAGCATATTATGGACACTGTTTACAACGTTGCCAGCCGGTCCTAAGAGATCTATCTTTCTCTCTTCCACTCACTAACAATTTTAAAACAATAACAGTCCGCAATTGTATGGGATTTATAAATGAAATATTTTGTCTCTATGTTGTAATGTCTTTGGATAACGGTTTAACCAAATATGGCAGTCACGTTGGTTTGAAATCACCTACTGTTGTTAATAATAATAATAATCCTTGAAAATAATAGAATTGACTTACCTAGTATCAATAATATAGGGATGCATCATTTTGAGAGCGTGCAAGTCGTTGGCCAATGATTGACCAACCAATATGACGTCATCGGGGAATAGTTTTTTTAGATCCTCTTGAACGTCCTTTAATTTTTTTGAAACGTTCTGCATCATCTTTTTGTTAATACCTGACCACTTGGTCAAATAGTCTACTATTTCATTATCGGGCTTGACCAAAGTGTCATAGAAGACTTCTAGTTTTTCGTTTACACATGATATCCTTGTGAGTTCCAATTCGCCTATAATAAATTTCATTAATTTTATTTATTAATAATTTATATTCAGATCATGATACATTTTGTATTATATAATAATCATGGGTCGCTTGGAAAAGTCCGACAGTCTGAAAAGTTGACTAGTCCAAACACACTTTTCAAAAGTGGAAAAGTGTATTAAATTAACTTTGTCTGAATTTCTTACAAACAAAAGCAAAATATAGTTTTAAAAAGAAGAAACGTCAAATTACTACTGACTTCTATGGTTTAAAGATATTTTCGTTTCATATCTTATTAATATACCTAAACTCGTGAAAAAATTACCAAAAAATCCAAAGGTTGGAAGTATTTTACAAATGATTTGCCTAAAAGAACGAAAATACAAATATTGTTTTTGAAAAAACATCCAGGATGTAGATTTAACTGTAAGTCTTCTATGCTTAAGGTTGACTAGTTTTCATTACTTTTCCAGACATGTCCGTCGGACTAGTCCAAAAATTACTTTTCATGAAAAGTTCCATCACTAGTATAAATATTAATGGTGAAAATTTCAATCACCTTTGGTTCTCAATGACTACATTGCGCTGAATTCGTTTAGCTTAGGTAAGGGAAGTGAAATGGCTGATTATCTTAATCCTTTAAAGTTGAGTTTAAAATCAATATAATGATTATAAATTGACTTCATAGTCGAAATATTCTTAGATTATAATTTTTAAGATATTCAGATATGTAAGAAAAGAATTTTGTAACTCGATCAAAATAGATGGCGACTGTTTTTTATTATTTTTTTATTTTTACACCCTTTGGGCCCCCGTGCTATCACCCTAATCCGTATGCAGCCCGGTGGCACTACAGCTTGCGGCTTATTATACCACCATTTGAAGGTACTACTACTTTGCCATTCACCAATTCATTCACTCATTTACCGTGATTCATTCCATGGTGTCGATGGTGACAAGGCTTATAGTGGAAGGTCCCAACTGTCAACCATCCACGACTTGATTGGATAGATGACACCTTAAATATTGCAAGAACGTGGATGCACACTAATCTGTCTCCGAAGATTTGAGGAAAGTATATGTCCAAGCATCTTCTTTGCTGAGCATGTGCAGACTATTAACTGCATTATGGTTATGGGGGTTATTTCCTTCAGTTGTATATCAAATTCTAACCAATGTTCTTGTTTGTTTTAACCAATTATTTTAATTTCAGTAAAAAAAGTTATATGAATATTCTCACCTGTAGATGTTCTACACATTTCACAATCAATAGCATACATTGGACTAAACGGAGTGACATGTTTGTACTTGTCTTTAGTCAACACATAACCTGTATATTTTCTCTCCATTAAACCTTTAATTGGTAATGGAAAGTTTTCTTCTACCATCTGCCACCCAGACAGCAACAATTCAGTCCTTGAAAATTTATCATTTGCCGGTAAGCTTTTATTTGTGGGTAGCTTTTCGACTATTTCTGGTTCTTCTATTGGAAAGAAATTTTTGACTGTATCAAATACTTCATTACTATTAAGAACAGCTTTTTCTAAACTCCCAAAATTGTTCTGGAATTTTTTCATCTGTGTACCTATAATGAAAAATCAGTTTTATATAAATTAACCAATTTATCAAGTACTTTACCTGTTAAGGGGACCATAGATAAATCCTTTACAATGTCACTATTATATGAACTGGGGGTAATCATTTCTACTTTGTGTTCAAAAGTTGAACTCAGAAAGGGGAACATACTTTCATGTGCACTAAAGTGGTAAAGGGATGCATTTTCTACTATCAGTAAATTTGTATTAATTAGTTTACTGTATTTCTCCAATGCACACCATCTTGCTGGCGAATAAGGGGAATGTACACCAATTTGAGAGTACATTATAAGGTGTTGTAGGTCCGAAAGGAAGAGAGGTACCTAAAACCAAAATGTTAAGTAAACAATTTTGAAATACTGGTAATATTCTTAAATTGAGATCATTAAATTGTCCAAAACAAATTTATAGATATATATTTAATTCAGCATATACAATGTTTTTACTCTCAAAAAAGAGTTCAACATTGATCAGGGTACGACTAAAAATTCGCTAGTGTATTTATAGTTAAAAAATGGTGGCTTATATTTAATCTGTCAGAAATACAATCATGCAAATCACAGTTTATTTTAGCTTTAATCAAGTGATTCAAGGGAAAAATACAACTGAAGTAGAATCTTCAACAATAATAGTAATTTATTAATATTATAAAAAATAACAAAACAATCAGAAGTAGTGTAAATAAATCAGAGACTATCAAAACTAAATATGACATATGGAATTAAGTTTATTGTTAAAAATTAAGAAGAAAAATTAGAAAACTCAAGACCATGTGACAGAAACGTCGAACGGTCGTTTCTCTCCAGAAAACAACTACTCCTTTAGCTAATACCACAACCAGCATTGAATTATATTCAAAGAAAACAGCAGATATAGAAATTATATCGACATTCTAATACATTTTAGACACTGAACTGTAATATTCACTGGACAGAATACCAGGTGACAATGAGACTATAATCACGTTAACATTTCTTTCATTTATGAAGCAATTTGGATCAAATTTAGGAAAACCTAAAAGACATAATTTCGAATTGACTCTTATACTTAAACAAAATGGCCGACTTTTTGTCAAAAATTTAATTTTTCACGAGCGTTTAGCTTTCTTCCACATCTTAATCATTTTTCTATGTCTATCCACCTTCTTTCTGAGTCCTATTGTAACAATGACTTAAGTCTTCAACATTGTATATTTTGTTTTTTGGAATCTAAGGTTTAAATTACATATGACAGTGATGCCAAATTTTCATTTTTCCCAAACAATTATCTAGGTATACACGATTCAAGCTAAACGATACGCCCTCTGGAAAAAATTTGGAAAAGGTGTCTATGACTTTATTCAGTGTTGCCAGGAGTAACGGAATTTCACTACATCAGCGAATTTTTAGCTCTTGAAGAAGTGGAAAGATATTTTTTTTAAGTAGCGAAATTTGTGTCTACAAATATGTAATCAATAATCATACTAACATTGGCCTTGTTGTGTTGTCTGTTGTCACCGATAGAAATTTTTATCAATTCGGAATTTTATTGTTTGAGAGCACTAACTTTGTTTTTTTATAGCATGTGATAACTGATAGTGTTATATTAAAAATTAAATTCGCGAAAAAGCAGTTAAAAAAATCGCAAATACAAATGCCCAAAACTTACCCAATGTAAATAAACAAATATTCTACTTATAGGTGACAAATGACAGGCGCACGAAAATGAATTTGAATCGCGAATAGGCTATATTCGACACTGTGAAAATATGCACCAAGTATCATGAATTGGTGCATTTGGGAAAATTTGAAATTAGATTTTATGCTAATTTTTTAATTTGCAAGACATAAAAATTACAATTTATTAGACTACAAAATGTTCGATTTTAGATTTTAGTAATGACACAGCATAGGTATCCATCATAGGTAATAATAAACTATTGTAATTTAACATATTTAATCTATAATTTGATTTTTTAATACAGAAAATGTTACAAACATGAAGCATGTTACATTATTCATGAATGAACGATTATCATCATACTATCCAATACTACCTAAAGTAAAGGAAAAGAAGATCAAGTCTAAAGTATAGTGGAAATGAAGATTATGAAAGCTATACAAAAGATCTTTTAAGATAACTCATGAGACTACAACAAAATTAAAAGGAGATATCGGTAATAAAAACAGCATATAACTATATAGATAGTTGACTCACTTTAGGGACCAGTATAAACTGGCAAAATTATGTATGTTACAATAGGAGTCAGAAAAAAGACGGATAGCCAGAAAAATTATTAAAAGATGTGGAAGGATGCTAAACAATGTTTGTGAAAAATGTTAAAATAATAGCACAATATGGATACATATTAACCAAAACGTTTAGAACTGACCTGTCACATATTATTTATATTAAGAATTTTGCAATATAATATAGGTAGGTAGTTAAAAATTACAAATTTAAATGTTTTGACATTAGTTCGCCATACTCTTTGCCTAAAATTGCCAATTTTTCGGGACGCTTTTTAGTTGGCTATATCCTATCCAGTGAATATTTTAGGGATATATCAGATGTTTCTTAGAGATAACATAATGCAATTTCTGATGCATGTCATCAATAATCTCGTTAAAAATAGATTGTTATGTTGTGAACAACATGCATCAGAAATTTCTTTGCAATAGAACATCTAAAATTGTAACAAACTCTAATTGTCTCTGTGCGAATAAGACTTTTGGGGATGTCTGTTTCTGGTGTCTCTCCCCTAAAAGGATTTTATCAAGTTTTATAGCCAGAAAATGAATGGTTACCCCTGCATGAAATGTGACGGCGAAAAATAGTATACTTTTCATTTCGATGGCATCTATATTTTTAGCATGTTACAATTTTTACATTATCATCCACTTACCCTGTCGTTTATTTCAATATTTACACTTGCATTTGTGCCTAATTCCCTTAACCGAAGTTGTGGGACGTTACGAGTTTTTTGCGTTTTTTCTCTTAGCATTTTTTTCAATTCTTTAAACTCTTCGCCCTCGAGTTTTGGTTTGCCCGAAGGGCCTAGATCACCTATAAGGGGCGGCGGCAACGGTTCCAGTTTTGTATCGTCTTCGTTTCTGAAAAATAAAATGGTAAATCAGGTTAATAGCCTGCCTAAAATGTCCTTTTAGTATGTTTGGTACTCTGTGAGATATAGCAGTCAAAAGTTAAAAATGCCTAAAGCAGGGTTTTGTGATTTGGTTAAAATGAAGTAAGGATTGACTATTTTTTAAAATGGATTCGATAACTAAAAGTTGAATATTAATTACGAATCTTCTACACTACAAAAAAAATTCTGTAGAGATCTTTAATTTTTTTTGACAAAATCCAATTTCCAGGGCGTCAAATTGGGGGCCTTTGATAAAATACTTATTTTTTTTATTTATAGATGATTACTGAATCGGTTTTTACTAAATTTTGTATTCTTTTTTTTAAAGAGTGCGCTTTGCGAGATAGCACCGTTTTTGAAAAAAAAAAAAAAAAAAACTAAAAACAATATAATATTTATTTACTTACATCAATAAATTTACAATAAAAATTAAAAAGTTTCGAAATACAATATGTATAAACATGTGACAACCACATAAACAAATTTTTTTTTTACAAATATTTCGATTTCAGGTTTTTTATTCCACCAGGTAATCTATTATAAATGTTTGAGCTGATATACCAGAAACTGCTTTAAGTATTTGGTTTTTTCACTTTATGTAGGTAAGTTGCATTCATGCTTAGCCAAATATTGTACTTATGTTCAATTTGATTTAGTTCAGTTTTGTTTGGTGTTGCCTGAGCAAAAATGTTCACATTGTGATGTGTCATATTCAAAAGAAGGTTTTTACAAAATCGCTAAATAAAAGAAAAGAAATTTAATAATTATAAATTAAGCCATGGATAACAAATGGTTTAATTAATTCTATTAAAACTAGGGATACACTTAAAAAAGATCTACAAAAAAACTATACTATTAACAAATAAACTCACTATAAAACATTTAGAAATAATTTAAACATTTAAACTGCAATAACTACTTTTTGACTATTGGCACTAATATGTTCACAAATATCCCTGAATGTAATGTGGATTTTCCTGTGTCACTGAAAAATCAATGTTTCTGAAACCGATATGCGAAAACAATATTATAAAACACATAAATAGTTTAAAAAACAATAGTACCCCGGGATTTGATTGTATAACAGTAAAACATCTGAAACTACTACATCCGTATTTACTGGAACCTCTAATGCATATAATTAATTGTATTTTTAATACAGGAATCGTAACTAAACAATTTAAAACTTCAATTATAACACCTATTTATAAAGCTGGTAATCCAAAATTAATAACTAACTATAGGTCTATTGGTTTAAATTAGTAATGTGGCCAAAATATTTGAGAAATGTGTGAAAGATAGACTGGCAAATTTTTTAAAAACGAATAACCGAGGGGCAAATCACTCCCGCAATACGTGTACAAAATGTCCGCAATCCCATTGAAAATCGCCGCAGTCTCATCAAAATCAGTGACAATCGCTAAGAAATCGCCGCAGTCGTTCCGAATTCGCTCGCAGTCGTTCCGAATTCCCTTGCAGTCCCCCGAATTCTCTAGCAGTCACTGAGCAATCACTAGCAATCGTTAAAAATCGCGCGCAGTAAGGTGACATTAACCAATTAGCCATTGTTGATGTAGGGTGCTTTGATTAAGCCATCTAAACCATTTTGTGTAAAGAAATTGCAGTTTAAATTTTGAGGCAAGAACTATTAAGTTAAATTTACATTTTGGAATTTGAGGTTTTTTTTAGGATAAATTTAGACACTAAATCTACTTGTATACAAAATTTTACAAGGTGGTCAAAAATTGTCCCTTTTCATCTAGTTTTTTTTTTTAATGTATAACAAAATTGTTGGTATTTTATGGGGGTTGGGGTGATACACGTTTTAATTAGGGTTTTAAATGTATTTTTACTTTCCTATCTGTTTACAGATAAGGAAAGTATAGGAATCATGATTTTTTTCGACCTCGAATTTTCGACGGTTTTTTATGTTTTGGGGTATCCTGAATCTATTTTGACTATTTTCGCGATGATGTCTTTGTGTGTGTCTGTATCTTCGATAACTCATGAACGGATACAAAGAAAAACACCAAATTTTAAACTTAAGCTTTATTCCGGCGTCCAATTAGCTGATTAGATTTTGGGCAGAGTCGGAACATTTGAAGGGTACTTTATAGTCATCATTTTTATATTTTATGGAATATATCTGTTATTTACGTTTGGAGAAAAAATTTTTTTAAATAAAAGTTACTTACAATATTATTATCTATAATTTGTTCTATACAAAATTTGGTCCGTAATCGAGAAATTTGACAAAATGTAAAAAAAAATATTTTTTTATAAAAATTGTTCCAATAAAAGTTGTTTGTAATATAATTCTCTATAATTTTTGCCCTATACATAATTTCTCTAAAATGGACCGTATTCGAGATATTTAAGAAAATGTGTAAATTTCGAATTTTAAAGAAAAATCAAAAACATTAAATTTTAAACTTAAGTTTCCATATATGATGTAGATAATGAAAAGAGCATTTTTTATGGATTGGAAGATCTTAATATAAAGGATTTTCGAAATTACTACACAAAAAGTGATTCTGATACCTCATTTTTAAACATAATTGTGAACAACAAAAAAATGAAGGTAAAAAAATCAGTTCTTTGTTGGTTATTTTCCACTGAAGACGGGCGCTTGTCAACTGATAGATTATCTCGTGTAAAAGGAACATCCTCAGCAGTACTAAATAACAAAAAAAAACAAGTCCAGAAAAAACACAGCTAAAATACCAAATAACTACAATGACAAAGATGTAACAGAAAGTGAAAAAACTACCGGTGAAAACACTTTGCTCCAGAAAAATATCAATGGCATTTTAATTAGGAACGAACAATATTACGCAATTCTTTACGAGTCGTGGTACATAGGTCGGATTTTTCAAATAATTGATGAAACCACTAGTAAAATAAAAATTTTAAAATCTGAACTTGAAGAATATTTATGGCCAAAAAAAAGACGACATTCAAATTGTTAAAAATAAATTAATATTTTACGGACCCATCAATTCAATTGGATCTGGTCCATTTAAACTAGAAACAAACATCAATAAAATTTGTAAACGTCTAAAAAAACACTTTTATGAAATTTTTAAATAAAAAACCTCCAATTACTTAATTACTTAACTTGTTTTATTTACCTGTGCCTATTTGTTCATTTAGGCATATCAAAGATATCTAATAATGGAGGCATGTAGGTACCTACATAGAAGTTTATATTTCGGGTATCACATCAATTAAAACTGATCTTCTGAATGAATAAAAAACGTACAAAAAGTTGATTTATTGATAAATTTGTCGTACACACTTAGTTTTAAATCAATGCATTGTATTTAGCACCTATACATGCGCTATACAAAATTTAGTTTTTCTGATGAAACACCTAGCTAATGCTTTTTTTACTGGAAACCAACTGTTAAGCCATAGAGTATCGTAGAAATCCTTCGGAATGCGTGCAATTTTGCAATAATACTGACAATCCATACGTACGAGTAAATCGCCGCAATCAATAGGGAAATTGCCGCAATCAATAGAGAAATCGTTGCAGTCAATACATAAATCACCGCAGTCACGGGAAATCTGTCGGAAGTCATGTGGAAATCATCGCAGTCATCCAGAAATCGCCGCAGTCATCTAGAAATCGCCGCAGTCATCCAGAAATCGCCATATGATTGCGGAAATCATATGAATTCGGCAATACATGTACATTTTTACAAAGAGTGATTTGCCCCTCGCGAATAACTTACTTCCCAAGCACCAATATGGCTTTACTAAGGGTCTTAACTCAGGAGATGCTATGCATGAATTGATTTCATATGTTACTGATGAAATGAATACTGGTAACAAGTGTATAGCTATATTTTTAAATCTAGCAAAAGCATTTGACATGGTGCCACATCAGAGGCTCTTAAATGTTTTTGAACCGAATGGAGTGAGGGGCATCGTGTTGAAGGTTTTTGAAAAGTATTTGACACACAGACAATAGAAGGTAAAGGTCAGAGACAATGTGAGTAACCCTGATAATATACAAATCAGAGTGCCTCAAGGGACTGTTCTGGGCCCTTTACTATTTAATTTATACATTAAGAGCTTAACTCAGATTGATATTCAAGGTAAAGTTGTATCATATGCTGATGATACAGTGCTAGTCTTCAGTGATAAAGATTGGGAAGCCATCAAGACATGTGCTATAGCTGGAATGGAACATGTCAAAAACTGGCTGGATGTTTTTAAATTGTCTTTGAATGTTAACAAAACAAACTACATTGCTTTTTCAAAGACAGTGGCTGATCGACCTCAATTTAGAAGCTTAACATGTCAAAATTTAGACATACAGGAAACAGAAACATCCAAATATTTAGGTATAATTATAGACCAGCACTTAAAATGGGACTGCCATATAATATATATAGCAAAAAAACATAGATTTCTGATTTATAAATTTTATCTTCCTAAAAACAATTTCTCAACCAGGATCTACTAATAACATTATACTACAGTCTAGTAGAATCTATACTACGGTATGGAATCTTAGTATGGGGAGGCCTGTATAGAACTACATTAAATCAGTTAAATGTTATTCAAAACTAAACTTGAAGTTAATACATAAAAGAGATAGATTGTGTCCCACCATAACTTTATATAATGAAAAAATTAGCAATGTTAGATGTTTATATATTCACGCAGTGTGTTGTTATATACAAAAAAATTAATTTTTAAAAAACCCTTTAGAACATAGACATAACACTAGAACTGCATCGAACATGTGCATTAAAGTACAAAAACCAAATAGTGAGTTTTTTAAAAACAGTGTAAATTATCTAAGGACAAAGTTCTACCTCTTCATATAAAATTATTAAACAAATATAAAAAAATCTGTAGTTAGCAAAATATACATTTTCCAAAATAATGCAAAGTTCCAAGAATAACGGACTTAATACATGGATTTTTTTATATAGTTTTTTTTGTTTCTTGCATAAATTGTTTTATTTGTATTTATTAAAAAAAAGTTTTTTTTATTTCCTTTATAATTCATTAAATATAATTAAAATTAAATTTTAATTTTTTTTCAGCACATACAGGTGTTCTCACCTAGGTGCTTGTTATTATAAAAATGGTTTTCATTATTGTACTTTATTGTAACTTATTTATTATTGTAACTCATTGTAACTTATAACTATTAAAATAAAATAAAAAAATTTAACTAATATGACATGTATATAATGAGGAAAATTGTTCAGATCACAGCCACTTAAATTTTAAAATAAATATATAATATACCTAATTGGGGTTACAATTGACTCGAAACTTAACTGGAAAACAACAATTTGGGAAAACAACAAGAAAAGTGAAGACATTACTAGTGATAGCAAGACTCTTCTTTGGAAAAAAATTTGAACTGAAACCAAGTATGGTATACTGGATATAAGTAATAGGGGATGTGCTGAACATGAGACCAGATCACATAACTAAACATTACTCCTTTAACACTCCAGTTGGGGTTTTAATACCAAACAGAACAGATATCACTATAAGGGAATCCAGTGCCCAACAACAGGAACATACCTGGTACACACTACACATACGGGTCAAAAAATGCAGGAGGCACTGGGGCTGGAATATTCTTTAAAAACCCCAACACCAATCTTAGCTATGCAATATGAAGACAGGAAAAATACAAAATCTGTACCACATATTTAATATAATAAAAATCCTTGATAGGTAATCTTTTTTCATTTTAATATTTAAATGATCTTTTAGCTATAATAAAATTGTATACCATTTTGTCTGATACATATGTCAATATTTTACACTTTATTAAGTGGCAAGTTATAATGAAATTTCATACCATTTTGTCTGATATGTCACTATTTTACACTTTATTACCTGGCAAGTAATTAAAAACGCTAAATAGAAAAATCTGGAATGATACATTCCTTTAAGATATGTCAATCAATTTACAAGAAATATTTTGCAATTATTCAAATTATTTTGTTTTTTTATTACTGGTACAAATATGTTTATCTATGAATTTTTAAGTTTACTCACTTCTGGAGGAGCTACAAAATAAATATTGTCACTGCCTATTAAAAATCGATCAACATAATACACAAGAAATTAAGTACTGTTGAGGATCATAGGTAAGGTGAAGACTTTAGGAGAGTGAGTAAATGTATGAAATGCAATTTTTTTCTCAGGACTATATTTTCTAAGCCTTTATACTTATTCCTAAATATATAATTTTGGAATAAGATTTTAGGCAATACAATATGAACAGAAGTTTTTAATATTAACTACACCTACCTATATAGTGGGTTCCTTATTATGAATGTATAATTTTTTAATATGAAACATACCTATTATTATTGAACTCAAAACAACCTAAGTTGTATATACCAGCAAGAACATTGACTTACATGTGGTTTTCTGTTTTTAATTTCTTGAGACTGGGTTCTTTTAAAGGTTTCATAATAACACTGTCCTCTATTTTGGCATGTTTATTTTTCTGTACTCGATCATATTCATTTAATTTAACTATATCCATTAATGCTGCCATTTTTTTCTTTTTATTTTCCAAACGCAGTTTTCTCTTCGTTGACCCTGTCATAGTTTCGCCATAAAATAACCAGTAGCTGAAAAAGAAAAAATGTGTGCCACCATTTCATGTATTGAAAATTGTAAAACAAGGTTTACCTTAGAGTTATGAATTTTAAATATTTTGTTAGAAAAGTAATAGAAACATTTATTAAAATTTTTATATAGTCTCGTAGCATACCCTATATTTTCAAATTTAAACTGGAGTGACAGAAAAAAATTAGGTTACAAAACACGAGACAAAAGCCAAATTTTCAAACTAATCTCTTTACCTGATTCATTGCAAACCTGACAGCAACTAGGAGTAACTAGAATTATCAATTAATGTTTCATTGAAGCTCAGATTCTTTTAACAAAATACCTATTCTTGAGGTTGAACGGGTTTAAAAAAATAATATTAAAATTTATTCCTTCCTCCTAAAATAAAACAACAAAATAAGGATTCTTAGATTTAGACACTCCTGCCATCTATTTAATTTTATATGAACTTTTTTATGGAAAAGTCAACTGTCGATGACAAATGTCAATGTCTAGTTTGTAAGTACGTCCAGAAATTTGTCAACCTTCGTAGTCAGCAACCAAAATTTCATTATTGAAATATGTATTGCATGCATAAACAAAAGTTGAAATTGTTATTTTAGAGGAATATTGTTGAAAATAGTATCTGAGGACAGTATAAATACTCCTCGTTATTTTCAGGTTTAAAATACCAGAAATACATTTATATTGGGATATTTTTTACTTTGGATATCAAACGAAATTTCCGTTTTGTCACTGTTTCCCAGCGCAACTTTAGAAACAACCCAACTGTAGATAGTCGAATTGGATTCCTTGTTACAGGCATTCGATTAAATTCGATTTAGAAAGGAGTTGGACATTTTGTCCTTGTCTTGTGGGACTCCCTTATTCAGAGTGCATCGTCTAGTTTGGTATTTTTGATTAGATTACATAATTAAGTAGACTTCGCAGCACGGCATATTGTACGTCGTGTGAATTTTGCATAACGCTAATTACACACGACGTATAGATTGCCGTGCTGCGTGGTCTACGCAACAATGTGCTGCATTGAAATACATTTATTTAAACGGTGGAATTCACACTGCCAAATGGAAATTCGTGTGAATTCCATCCTTTAAATAAATAATCTATTATAAGGCCGCATGTCATTCGCAGCATAGCAAACTATTTGCCGTGTGCATTTAAGGTACAATTTGAGAACGCGAGACCGATGCAAGCGACCGCGACAGGCAGCAAAGCAGCAAACACTGCCTCAAAACTGATGTTGAAAGTGCTGTTACAGTCTCTTGTATCGGTCGCTCTGTCTCAAATGTGCTTCATATAATTACATGTGATTCAGACCGAAAGAAGATGCCTTACGCGGTCGCTTGCCTCGATCTCATGTTCCCAAATGGTACCTATAGCGTTAGTTAGCCTATTGCACTTCAAAGTATTGGTTATTCATGCCAGTGCTGCATAGATTATGGGTCTTAACAGCCTTGTGTATAACCTGGTCATTTTGGGGTTTAGGCCCCAGTTTTTCGGTTTTTTCCGCATATACGTAGGTACATAAGAGCTATTTGTAGCTTTGTGTGCGAAATTTTTAAGATGTTGGCTCCACGTCAGCCTTTGGTCAAATATGACTCTGAGGTATCTCTGTATCTGTAACGTGTGGAGGGTGGATTACCCCCACGGTACTTAGGCCTCATTAGGCCCATTGTGCATCTTCTTGAAAGGCTAGGCACCTCCTAGCTCATGAACCAGCCTAGAGATTTAATGTAGTTGACAACGTCGCCAAGAGATGCTGCTCTTATATCGGCCGGTGTTAGCCGATACTCGCCGAACACAAATCTTCTAATAAATGAGAGCGTCAAGCAATCGTAAAGAATATGCTCGATGGTCTCATCTTCTTGTTTACACCCTCTGCAGAGTGCGGATTCTGACAGCCCTATGATATGGATATGCTTTCGTACTTGGCAATGACCAGTCAGCATGCCTGTAACTAGGCGCAGATTCTGTCTAGTCATAGTCAAGTATTTGTTTGCTTCGTGACATTCTCGTACTAGCCCTGAGTAAATTCGTGGTCTGTTCAGGGTGAGTAATGCTATCTGTATAGATGAGCATGTTACTTCCAGTGATATTGTTTCTGGTTATTTCTTTTGCTGTTATGAGAACCCCCGTTAGCTCTGTTTGAACTACACTGGCACTATTACTCACAGCCCATTTCATGTTTAGGTTCAAGAATCTGGAGCATATTCCACATCCTGAGCCTTGTTTTGTTTTAGAACCGTCGGTGTAGATATCAATAAAATTGTACCTGCCATTTCCGGCTCTTCTATTTGTCCTATTATAACTTTATATGGCTTATGAAATACATATTTCGGTGAGATGGAGTCCATGTTCGCTTGAAGCAGTGGAAGCGTATCGAACGCTTCCTGCCAAAAGTGACGTCTCGCTTCACCAGATCCTACATCAGGTTCTATTCCAACCGTGCGGAGGCGTATCATTATCGTCAGAGCAACCTCCTTCATGTAAATATCAAGGGGAGTAAGACTAAGAATGACTTCCATGGCTCTGGTTGGTGTTGTTTTCATGACTCCTGTTATGTTGAGACATGCTGTTCTTTAAATTTGGTCTAGTTTACGGATAGCTGTTAATTTTTGGGTTTTCGGTACCGTATGTTAGCATAGGTCTTATGATAGCCGTGTAAGTCCATGCGACGACTCTGGGAGAGAAACCCCAGGTTCGCCCCACGGTTCGGCGGCATTGTTCATAAGCAATGTGTGCTCTTTTAACTCTGTTTTCTAAATGCGAGTTTCATGTTAATTTGTTGTCAAAGGTGAGACCTATGTACTTCACCTCTGTTGCAAAGTTTAGTTTTGTGTTTAGGAGTTCTGGAGGTTTTAATTCCATTTTAATCCTTTTCCTTGTGAAAAGGACCATTTCATGACTTTGAGGTATTATTTGGCTTCTGTGACAAATGGAATAACAATTCCTATTTAGTATCTACTAGTGGTCTTTTAGTCCTGTATTTGTTTTTTGTGAATGATACATAACTCTTGTTTTTTGGGTGTTAATGGAAAATTATTTACTTTTTGCACCAGTTGTTCACTATGTTTAGAGCTGGGAATAGGTACTAGAAATTACAAAATAGATTCCTATTTTGATTTAAAGAATAAAAACAAAAATAATGTCATTCCAAGGACTCTTTATTTTTCTAACATTTACAAATAAATAAAATTTCACAATATACCTAATATGATAATATTGATAATAAATGAAAACTGGAATATTTTTATATTCTCTGTTAAATTATTTGCTCTGCTTTTCAATGGTTTTTATAATTCCAAATATCTAAAGTAGGTACCTAGCAGCTTATATCAATTTGATAGGATTTCATAAAATAAAAACAATTTGTGTCTCTTTTTTTTTAATCTTAACTAAAAAGGTGGCTGAAAAAAATTATCTTTTACCATATAATTCACAAAGCATCTTTAAATTTTAAATTTACCAACATGTAAGACTTTTAAGATAGTATAACGTTATTATAATGAATGTCTCCAATATTTAATTATTTTAATCTTGGAAAAATGACACTCTACATGTTTTTCTGTTTCTACATGTTTTAAAAATGTTTTCCAGAAAAACATAATATTAAAACATTTATTTGAATTGTACTAATCACAGTAGCGAATCAAATAAATGTTACTGCAAAATCACACCAACGTCCATCTCTAATTTTCTCTAATTTACTGTTTAAAAATACTTCGTGAATACGGATGTTTGTTTTGTAAAGCTTTTTTTGAGTGAATTACTCATGTAGGCATATTTTTTTTTTTTTTTAATAATAAAAAAATGATTTTATGGAGTAAGATAAGTAGAGTACTTATTTTTCGTACCGTATTTTTTTAACCACCCGGTTTGTAGGTATTTTTCCAATTTTTTTGAGCGCTATTATGATATAGATTCGTCTAGTAGATCTACAAAGTACAAAGATATAGGCTACAAAATGTTCATCTAAAAAGTGTTGATCAGTCACAATGATATATTGTCTTAAGTACATTTATTTTAATAGTGGGAGTCAGAATAGGTTGATTACACTAGAGCGCCTTCTACAAAGTGTATAAACAATATATATACCATACCATTTCAGTTTGTCATAAAAATATAATGTTTTCAAATTAATTAAATATACCTAGATAATGTAATACGAGCCATTTTCGACTAACCCGGTCATGTCGCTGATAGGTGTCTCTAGATGGCCAAATTTTTAGAAGTGATAATTTTGAGGATTCTACCACCCTGATGGTAAATGCAAGGGTGAAGCTATTCTGGCCGTCCGCTCTACAGGGCATTTGTGTGTACTTATAAATTATTACTTTAGAAAACAAAGTATAAATTATATTGTTTAACACTGTGTAACATAAGGCGCTTCAAAATTGTAGACCTAATAATAGCTACATAATTATACCAACATGATCACCGCAGAAATACCTACATCCAATTTAAAATTATTCATTTAAATTTAAGTATTACATTCTTATAACACCTCGTAGATTTTAAATTCGTAAATATTGCTTTTTTTAAGTATTTCATACCATAATGTACATATATACATACAAAAATAAAATGTATTCATAATAATTATACAAATTAAAGACTAAAGTATTATATAAATCACATTTTGGTTCTTAATATAGGACGTCGAAAAATATAAACATTTGAAAGTTTATTAAGAGCCAGCAGAGAAAACATTTTTTAAAGAGTATATATCTTTATTAATATATCTATAAAAAATAAAAATAAAAGAGAAATAAACAAGGTGAACTAGTTACCTAACTAATACTGTGTTTGAATGTTTTCTTATCAAATCAAAAACACTATTAAATTTGAATCACAGAATGCGATTTTAATTTGTCATTTATTTGAAATTTGTTTCCTACAGCTGATTACTTATTAACTAATTCAACATGTTATATATTTATTAATTAACGGGCCAAAATTTTCTTTGCTAATACTTAGGATTTTTGTGTAATTAAATAAGATATACGCTTCATATTCATGACTGAAAATAATGAAATATCTATTTGTCCTGAAAAATTTGATTAAGGTTTATTTTTTAAATTTTTACTTTAGTTATACGTCACGACACTGCACAGCACGGTTACGGCAAGCCGGTCACTCGTGGCCGTCTGATTATAGCAATCCAGGGATAGCACACACAGCAATACGCATCTTAATCTGGAACCATTCAATATGAATACACTTACTGTTAAATGAAAGTAACGTACCGTATCGTTACGTACCGTATTGTTATGTACTGCATCGGTTAAGTGGGTTCTATTCGTTTGTGTATAACGTTCTGTGCAGTAACGTATAAATCGTCTTAATGTCTAATTGATCCTGATAGATTGATGTTTTTATTAAAAATTTAAAAAGTTGCGTGATAATTTTTGTTGTGTATGTATAATACAAAACATTCTGAATTGATGTGGTTTAAAAAATATATTGTGGACACGTGGACAAGCCACGAAACATTGCCTCTTAAAAACTTTTCGAATAACTTCTCAACGCCCCTGAATAAATATGGTAATACAAGAGTGGATACATAAAAACTAATATACATGGTGACTATAAACATTTATACAAAAATTTTTATTTTCTATTACAACGAAAATAAACTTAATGATTGAATATGAAATTTTAGTATATTAAACATTATATAATAATTTAAAATGCATCTATCTAAAAGTATGAATATAAGATTAAGAATCAATATAATGTAATAAAACTTAGAGTGGGAAAAAACAATTCTTTTATTTGACACACTGTATATAATTATTAACATACAAGGTGGCCAACGAAAACTTGACTTGGGGGTTTTGGGTATTAATAGCGTTTGAACAAGTCGATTTTAGTTTGGAGGAGGACATCCTCTTCAGTCATATCTTCAACTGTCATACGTCATTCCCCTTTCCTCCATTACTCTAACAAATACAATTTAAGTGGTAAAAGTTCCAAGTATGACAGATCATGGAAAAGGTAATTTTATGACGAATTTTAGCGCCCGCTATAGCGGGATAAAAACTGTTACGTATTGTAAAGTGTGGCTAATTTTTTTAGTAAAGTGTTGCACTTTACAATACGTAAGAATTATCCCGCTAGAGGGCGCTAAAATAAAATGTAACGCAAAGAATAGTTATATTGCTAGAATAGCCATAAAATTATTATCTTTTTAATTAATGATTTTGTTCTGGTTAGAGTTTCGGGAGGAGAGGAATGACGCATGATAGTTGAGGAAATGATTAAAGGATTGTCCTCTTTCAAACTAAAATCAACCTGTCCTAGCGTCTATGATATTAATACCCAAAACCCCCAGGTCAAATTTTCGTTGGGGCATCTTGTAGGTACAAATTAAATTAATATTATATTTTCGCTGTTCTTAATTATTCAAAAATTTTCTGATAGTTAAATTTGATTTCTCAATATTTAAAACATAAATATATATTTTTTAAATTCAATGGAAAAAAGCAACATTAAATAATATGTACCTAGTATTAATTTTGTTATTGATAAATAATAATTAGGAAAAGAAGTCAATTTAACACACGAAAAATGTTCTAATATCAAAAAAATATAGAATATTATGGTACATTATGAAATATGTTTTAAATTGAAATTTTTATCTTACAGACATGTATTGATTTTTTTATAACAAAAATGAAATTGTATTTTAAAATTATAGAGTATTTTTTGGATCCATCGAGCTTGTCATATCAAATAAGAGTATCTACTTATAATAAACTTTAATTAAATTATTTAAGTAAATCGAGATAGTAGTACTTACCTAAGTAGATATTTTTAAAAATACACATCATTTTTTGCTAATAATATATGACTTTAATAATACTAATAAAAAAAATAGAAAAGCATAGAGAAGCATGGCAGAATGTCGAGAATACAATTAATTAAATAGTATAAAAGGAAACAGTAAAAATCAAAGTCCTTGGTAAAATTATAGGTAGGTAGTGTTGTAAACACTGAAAGATTATAAAAATAATTAGAGAAGAACACTGTAATGGCTAAGAAATTGAAAAAGTTGTTAAAGACAAAATCGAAGGAAGATGCAAAAATAATTAAGAAAATTCTATCAAATGAATTGAGATGTGAAATAGAAGAAAAGAAGAAGAAAATTAATGTGTAGGCTACAATATCAACATATTCTCTCGCCAGTACAAGGTCAACAAAATAAAGGTAGGAATCTTGTTAAAATAACAATTTATTTTTAAGATGTTTTCCTGATACTCTTCTCTTTTATGCATATGGTAGGTACAGCTTGATGGATCCACTCAAAATTCCCCTTAAAACAATGATCTTTAAAACAATTAAATTAGTATGGTAAATTATCTCTTAATATTGCTTGTTTGACAATCTTAAATTTTTCGCATTTGCCCCACCACGAATGCCGCACGCAGGTTTTCTTCGGCTTGAGGACGAAACATTTAGTTTGAACTACGTTGAAGAATAGTCTTCCTACCATATTTGCATCACCGCTTCGAACTCGTTTTAGACATGCCCTGAAGCTGAAAAAAAAAAAATAAAATAATTTAAAAAAAAAGAGATCTAAACTGTGGTTACGTTAGACTTTAAATGCATTATATATTTTATTTGTTTATTTATTTATTGCAATTTACAGTCTACTCAAAATATTACAAAGTATATGTAATTAGTAAATAATATTTTGTAAGAAAGGTGAATTGGCGCAGGTTCCATCCATGAATGGTTCATTGGTATTTTACTCTATTAGTGCTTTTGTAATTGTTAAAAATACAAAGCATTTTTAACCGTAAAATCAGCTAACTATGGCTCTACACAAATTACATACACGCGTTATATTTCAATATTACAAAAACATGATATAAATTTTAAGCTGTTACTATAAGAAATTCGCACACCAAAGTAAAAAATGATGGCTAACACAAATTGCATCACCCTTGCGCAGAAACTAAATCACGTAAAAAGTATCGAATACTGTCTCTTTCTAGTAAAGGACTTCTTAAAAAAAACACATTTATTCATTTACGCAAAATTCCCCAAGTTCCTGCTAAAAAAAACAATATTTCTAGACGAAGAGGCAAAGTACTTCAACTTTTATTTATTTAAACATTTTGTTATTTAACTTATTTACACTAAGACTAATTTATTTGTTTTAAATACAACACTAATTTATATCTCTTTCATTAATACACTTATTTATATTTATCTGAATAGAATGTCCTCTTAACTAAAACTAAACAATAACGGTAAACTTGGGCTATTTATAAAAATATGGAGTTCCAGACTTGTTCTCGAAGATTGTAAACGTCTTTCCACTAAGAATAGACAACTTCATCATCATTTTTTAGACTGGTGATTTCACCAGAAATTGTAATTTCGTTATCATTCATTAAAGGGTGCAGTAAATTCCAGTATTAAACAATTTCGCATTACTCATGCGCGAAAAAGCGCAGGACTTGTGAATCTAGTAATTTTCCATACAACTTATTTTCTATACAACTATTGGGTTGGCTACGACGATTACCCCTGTCATCGTAACTGTAAACAACTGTCTATATAGTAGGGGAGCCAGAGACACTTTTTTGCTACACATTTTAACAAGGCATTGTCTAAACTGGCTTTTTTTAAACGTCCATCGCTGCAGGGACTAGCAAAGTATTTCCATGTTCTACAAAATAAAGGAAATATTTGTAATTTTGCCTTGTGCAAATAACACACCTAAAAGTGTTACTGAGGGTAGAGAACACATATAACAAAAACAAATTTTGATGATTTTAAGCAGAAGTAGAATTTGTGCATGAGCAATAGAGGGCATCAATAACGGGAAAGGTTTATTGAAGTTAAGCTACTTAAAAACAAGGTTATCCTTTATTCTTGTATAACCTAATTATTTTATTATTGAAGAATAATTCAACCCTTTCACTGACTTGTGTGTGATATTTATTATCATATTTTTAATAATATTAGTATTTAAGTGATTACCTAAATTAAAAACCTAGGTACTGAATATGCTCTGAAAAAAATATAAAAAAAATCAAATGACAATTATAAATTTTATACTGGCTTCAGCGGCTTTCTTTGATTCGCCTTTAACGGAAACATTACTTCATCATCATCACATCTTGGCCTTGCAAATAATTAAAAAGTCATTAGAGACAACGGAATGTTTCAGATCCCGTAATAATGAATATAAATCTTAAATTTAAACAGCCCTAAGAGCAAACGCAAGAATTTTGATCTTGTAAAATCCAAACAATTTATAATATAATTTATATTAATTTATAATATACAATAAAATAAACTAGTGATTGAAGAAGTTATTTATTTATCTGATAAACTAAATTGATATTTAAACTAGAGTGAAGTTATATGATGCTTGGCATTTTATATTATACTCTTCACAGTTTAAGATACCTTAACCTCCCATTTTAATCTGATTTCGTTCAGAATCAATAGGCTTTATCCCCTTATAGAGCTTGATTTTTTCTAAAGGTTTCAAGTTGATACAGTTTCTTGTTTCTGAGTTAGGATTTTTATAAACATAGAAAAAAGAGATTTAATTTAATGAGTCCCCATCCCACATTTGAACCCCTTGTTTTACACGTGGAAGACAAATGCCTTGCCCTCACGTCCATCGCCACATCTACGATTTTAGTTTTATTATTCATAATTAAATTATTTTCATACAGTTTGAACAAAATTTAAGATTTATTTGTAACTATGGACGAAATAAAAATAAAAATGTTATGATTTATCGATTTTACACAAGACTAATTCATTTTTACGTATATTTAATCTCGATGACTAAAAAAATATACTGACAATTAGTTTGACAGAATTGTCACTTATATAAAATTTATTAATTTTTTTGCGGTGTTCTTACTAGGTAGAATGGATATGAAATATATTCGTTCAGTTGAACGCAATGGCATACTTTTTGTTTTGTAGTCTGTGTGTAGATTAGCTAATCCATGTGGGTGTAGAAAAAAATAATAGTATCGTGCTGACCAAATATGAACTTTGATTGGTGAATTCCATATCCATACAGTGTTTTTACTAGGATCGATATGAATATTATATTAGTTCAGTAAAATGCAATTGCCTACTTTTTTGTTCTGTAATTTGTGCGCAGAATAGATAATATTCATGTGGTTGTAGAAAAAATATGAATAGCGTCACCTATGAAATATAAAAAATAAATTCATACGAATTGATGTGTGAATACGACATCCCCATAAGTGTAGGTGGGAGTGAAACATTTATTTTCATAATTCGAGTATTTTGAGATATTGGTTGCATAGATAAAAATTATAAAAATTAGATGAGTAGGCCGACCTCCTTTTACCCACCCCCTTTTTATCCCCTTTTCTGGGCTGTTAATGATTTTATTTTTAATATGGTTCATGTTAAGGTCGGATATAGAAGAGCGATAGGGTTACCCCTTTTTTTTAGGGGTAACCAATCATTTGTAAAATTGTTATTTTATGCATTAATTCAAATGGCATGCGGTTACTTTCATACAGCAAGTTGCTAAGGCGTTTTAAACGAATTAAGAGTGCCCAACTATGAAGAGTGTGGATAACTTCTTGTCTTTTTTGTTTGTTAATATTTTTTGAAATATTTAGCTTTCAAAGTAAATGGTCTCTACCCTCCAAGAGGAAACAATTATCAGCTACTTTTGGATTGGTTTAACAAGAATAGCCTTGAATTTCGGAGAATTCTAGCTTTTTTGACTTCTTTATGCAAAATCACGAATGGATTGATTGACTGTCCTATTTTAGCTAATATTAATTTAAATGTTCCCCGGTATAATAACAGACATCATTTAACGTTTTATTGTAACATATCTAAAACAGCTCACTTCTTAATGTCATGTGTAATAACTTTAACTTATATTGTAATTCATCAGATATCTTCAGAGATAGTTTGGAAAGTACATGTACCAATAGAGGACTTCTATACAAGGGAAGTGCAACCAACTTGACAAAATAAAATTGACACTAATGACATAAGAAATCGGGTCACATAAAGAGGCTGTTTTTTAGTTTGCTTTTTGGTTTTTCCTATCTACTTTCATGCCATTTGCATACCTTGTTGTACCCGTAACGTGAAAAAGACTTTTTAGTTTAGGGTATTTTACATTTAAAGGTTGAAACATTTTTTCATTGTTAGCTGTCAATTATGATGATGGTAGAACACAGGCGTAACTATAGATGGGCATAACGTAACTAGTATTGTATGTTGGTTGTATATTGTATAGAACTTCTATTCGTAGCAGCAACATTTTGCAATCGACATAAATAAATAAAACCAAATGAAAAAAAATGTTTTAAGAAAGCGGGAGACGCACAAATAGACTTTAAACAACAAAAAATAAAATGCAATGCTACGCTTATGTTTTGACATTATCGACAGCTGATATTAACAACTGTTTTCAACATTTAAATGTAAAATACCCTAAAATAAAAAGTCTTTTTTACGTTACGGGTACAACATGGTATCTAAACGGCATAAAAGTAGATAAGAAAAACTAAAAATTTAACAAAAAAACAGCCTCTTTATGTGACCCGATTTCTTATGTCATTAGTGTCAAAAAAATGTTGTCAAGTTGGTTGCACTTCCCTTGTATAGAAGTCCTCTATTATGACAATGCTTTAAAACTTCTCATCATTTGTTATATTTCTTATTATAAAATAAATAAAAAATTAAAATATAACAACTCACAATCGTCTCATCTATCTCTACGTACTTAGCAATATTATCGAATAATGATAGTTTTTTTAAGAAAAGTTTCAATAATTTTTCTTAATTACAATAATACCGGAGGTATGATTTTTAACAAAAATAAAACTGAAATTATTTAACCAGAGTAGGTATTAATCACCCTTTTGACTAGTTAATTATTAGAATTCGCACAATCTCTTAGAAAACCAATTATCTTCTGCAAATAATAAAAGTAGGAATACCTAACAGTGAAGTTGTTCTGTCTTCAAAAGTTAAATAATTGCTTTTCAATATAAAAGCGTAGAATTATGCAAATGGGTAGAAATGGCAAAGTATTAAGAACTTTGAATTTCTATAATAAAATTGTTTTCGTTTAGGATAAATATATGAAAATTAAGTCCTAAAAATATGACCGAAAGTAATGTTTATCATCTCTAGGACCGCTAAAATCATATCGATATGATTTTGTTCTTGCTTAAATTCCAGTAATTTTTAAGGCATTAACGTAATGCGATATTTCACATAATTGTTTAAATTTGAATTTTAATGTTTACAATAATTACGAAATTAAAAAAATTAATAAGAATTAGTGAAAATCAGCTGCTCTCGTTTCACTTGGTCTGCTAATTCCCATTTTCTGACAGTGCGCAACACAATATAAAGAGCGATTCACAAAAAGCTGACACTTAAAAAGAAGAAGAAGAAATGTACGTTCCGACATGCTTGCATTTTTTCAATAGAGAGTTATTGCAAGTCTCGTTAAGATTTGTCACTATTAGTGCCGCTCTTATTTTGACATCTG